TGGCTCTAACACCACTGATCCTGCTGGCACTAAAGCCTTTAACTTCTGTGTTTCTCAATCTCTTACTCAGATAGTTAACTTTGTGACTCGTTTTCCTGACAACCCTAATCATTTACCTTTACTCTATGACTTATGTCTTGTCTCTGACCCTAGCTTATGTTCAGTTTCTCCCTTTTCTCCCTTAGTTGGTTCTGACCATGCAATGATCTCTAAAAATCTTTCTTCTCATACTTCTTTTTTGGGCTCACCTTACCATCACACCACCTACTACTACCCTAAAGCTGACTAGGATTCTTTTCGTGATTTTCTTCGTGATGGTCCTTGGGCTGATGTTTTTTCTCTCTCAGCTGATAAATGCACCTCCTACGTAACATCCTGGATTCAGGCTGGAATGGAAGCTTTTATTCCTTCTTGTCGGTTTCAAGTCAAGCCTCATTCTACCCCATGGTTTTCTCCTTCTTGTGCGGCTGCTATATCCAATCGTAATCATTTTTTTCATCTTTTTTAAAAGAACAACTCTCTTGAGAACAAATGGCTATTTTTTATTGCAAGAAATCGATGTAAAAAGGTGCTTTCTGATGCTAAACTCCATTATTCTCAGTTCACTAAATCTCGCATCTTATCACAGAAGTTAGGCTCTAAAGACTTTTGGAAAATCTTCAACAGCATTATTAACAAGGGTAGATCTAACATTCCATCTCTCATTCATGGAACTGATCCTATTACATCTCCAAAGGATAAGGCAGAACTATTTGCAAAGAACTTTTCTTCTAATTCCACTCTTGAATCTTATGGACATTCTCTTCCTTTCATTCCAGTCAAACAGGTTGACCCATTGTTAGACATTCAAATCAGCTTCTGTTGCTAAAGTCATATCTCAATTAAACTCGTCTACAGCTTGTGGTCCAGACAACATTTCTGTCACAGTCTTGCAGAATTGTTCTCCGAAACTTTCTTCAATTCTCTCTAAACTATTTAACAAGTGTTTGACTGAGTCTTGTTTTCCTGCTTGTTGAAAAATGGCATCTGTGGTTCCAATATTCAAAAACTCTGGAGAAAATTCTGACCCCTCTAATTATCGTCCAATCAGTCTTCTGTTAGCAAGGTCTTTAAGTCTTTGATCAACAAATTCCTCACATCTCATCTTGAGTCAAATAAACTACTGTCAGACAATCAATACGGTTTTTGATCCTCTCACTCTACGGCCAACTTGCTAACTGCTGTAACTGAAAGATTTTATTGTGCATTAGATGGAGGCGATGAGGCTAGGGCTATTGCTTTCGACATATCTAAAGCTTTCGACAAAGTTTGGCATGCTGGTCTTCTCCATAAGCTTGCTTCATATGGTGTTTCTGGTAAAAAAAAATTTTGAAATTATCAAATCATTTCTTTCTAACCGGTTTATTAAAGTCATCCTTGAAGGCCAACACTCTTCTTTATTTCCAGTAACTTCTGGGGTTCCCCAAGGTTCCATCCTGGGCCCTGTTTTGTTTCTTATCTACATAAACAATCTTCCTGACAACCTTTCATCTAAAGTAGCTCTTTTTGCTGATGACTCAACTTTATACTCCTGTCTTGACAAAAAGTCTTCTCTTTTCGATCGCCTAAAACAAGCAGCTGATCTTGAATCTGATCTCACTTCAGTAATAGATTGGGGTTCACAGTGGCTTGTGAATTTCAACTCTAACAAAATTTATTTGTTTACTGCAAACAACTACCGTAATATGGTCAACATTCCTATATTAATGAATAGCAATCCTCTTACTGAGTCGTCCTCTTTACGTCTTCTTGGATTATCGCTTACTACTGACCTTTCATGGAAACCATGCATGCAGTCGATTGCTAAATTAGCTTCTGCTAATGTTGCTTCTCTTTATTGTGTTCGCCATTTCCTTACTTCTGATTCCATTCTCTACCTCTACAAATCTCTTATTCGTTCCTGTATGGAATACTGTTGTCATATTTGGGCTGGTTCTTCTAACGATTCACTTTCTCTTCTTGACAAGGTCCAAAAACGTATTGTAAATGTTGTTGGACCTGGACTATCTGCTAAGCTTAAGCCTCTTTCCCATCGTCGTAAAGTTGCACCCAAATACCAAAAAATTGGATTTTTATGTCGCAGAAAACTTTTTATATTGCTAATTATTTTAGATTGCTTAAAACTTTTCACATCTACAATTATTTGTATTTATTTGCTGACAGATTTTTTCTCTAAAGATTTTTTGTACCCAGAAAACTTCTTTTAATTGGGACATCTTAGATTATTAGCTATTGCAAAGAAACAAGTCTTCCTCAGGTATAAACAAAAAAAATGTTATTAGTATTGGCAGTGGTTGATAGTTTCTTCTTACCTGGAAAATTTTTAAGTTACAGAACCTTAAAAGTTGTTAAGTTACAGAAAAATTATTTTACAGAAAAACTCAACCTTTTTTATCTGGAAAAATTTACACCTATGTTATGGAAAGTTTTCTTTATCGTTTTTTTACAAAATAAGGATAACATGATGGGATTTCAATTACATACCTTTATGATAATCTTCGTGGTTGGACTATGATGCAGCCACTACCAGTCAGAGACCTCCAGTGGTGTAAACCATCAATAGAGGAAGTTCTTACAACACCTGATATTACTCCAGTAAGTTATCTTCTTGAGTGTGATATTGAATACCCTAATAAACTACATACAACAATTATCCACTTTGAATACCCTAATAAACTACTTACAACAATTATCCACTTTGAATACCCTAATTAACTGCATACAACAATTATCCACTTGTTCTTGAAACCTGCGCTGTTGAGGGAAAAATGGTTAAGTGAGCACAAGTATTAGTTGGGAAATAAAATTCGAATGTATTGGACTTTAGCCTAATTTAAGAATAAAGAAAAGTGTATTGTACTTTTTTTTTATTTAGTTATTTAGTTTTATTAAGTTATTTGATGATTTGGGATGCAAGTTACCAAACTTCACAGAGCTTGTAAGCGTGAGAGAAAGAAACCTGGATGGCAAACAACCAGCAAAATACCAATTTAAGAACTAAGTCTACATCAGATTATTAAAAGATTTCTTTGAGTTAACAAAAATAAACAATTCCATCTTTGGTAAAACTATTTGAAAAAATTGTATTGACCGTGTCTATGAACAATAAAGGTGATCAATTATGAAATCTAGTTACCAATCCAGCATTACTCACACAAAGTATTTGATGTCAACATTGCAAGAATTGGTTGGGAAGCGGGTGCTTCTTCTTGGTGCGATCGCACTTGATAACTGACCACGGAAATAATATTTAGTTGCGAAAAACCGGCCAGATTTTTTAGTCGTTTTGAGAACATTTAAGTTTATATATGTTTCCTTGTTTGTCCGCAAAATATTAAGTTCATTTAATCGTAAATTTTAAAATATTTTGTTTTATTGACTTACATGGAAACACACATTAACTTGAATGTTCTCAAACATGCGGAAAATTAAAAAAAATATATTTGTGAAAACAAAAATCTTGCCAAATCTACGAACAACTAATTTTATTGGTTTAAAAAGTACTAACCGAAATTTCTAGAGTATTCAAATAATACTAACCGAATGTCCTGAGTATTCTGTTGAAATATTTTTAAAAATTGTGTTATTTGAACTTTGTTACGTTTACGTTGAGATTTCTAGCATAAATTATTTTAAAAATATATTATCAAACGAACTATTATTTTAATTCTTGGAGCCACATCTACAAAGCTATAAATGTTTTAAACAAACATTATTTGTTTAAAATAATAAGTGTTTTAAATTTATATTAGCTTAACAACGTTTTGTAAACATATTATAGATTTAATTAGTATATTCTTATTTTTTATATATAAGGAATGTATTTTTATGTATGTAAGGTATTAAAATTATAAAGCCCACTTAGTAAACATCATCAGCGGTATTGTGAAACAGTTCCACTTCCTCCTCACAAAGTAATTTAATGTTTTTAGTTAATTTCTATCTAGCTAATTGAATTTCTACAGTATTTCAATGATTTAATTATTTCATTTGTTCATCTTACTAAGAAGAATTGTTTCAAATGTGTTAAACTTTTTAAACTACTCGAAGCATAAAACAGTTATTAAAAAAACCTTTTTTTTTTTTTAATAAATAAATCAGCGTTAGTTTTATTGGTTGAATCTTGTTGGACTTTTCAGGGCTGAGGGCTGCATTATTTTGGCGGCCTTTTTTATGTACTGCAGCGTAAAAATGACTAAAAAAAATACCAAATGATCCTCTTGACTATTTCCCCTAACATTGTGAGTCCTGGGGTTATAGCCCTACTACCCCCACCCCACCTCCTCAATCCAGCACTGGAAATAAGACAAATGATACCTTAAATGATAATCCAGCACTGGAAATAATACCAAATGATCCTCTTGACTATTTCCCCTAACATTGTGAGTCCTGGGGTTATAGCCCTACTACCCCCACCCCACCTCCTCAATCCAGCACTGGAAATAAGACATAAGTATATAAATAAAAATTATATATACTCTTTGATAAGTCGAAGAACATTTGTTTCTTTATTTTTGTTACTGTATATAAAAAATGTCGCTTAGTTTTATAAAAAAAAAATTATAAAAGAATGACGTTTCAAAAATAATTGTTCTAATAAACTTATTTTGCTTAAGGTTTTTTTTCCTTAAAAAGCTATTTTTCTTTTTTTAACTGTCTCTCATCGGTCCAATTGATCTTATTGCGCTTTTTTGTTTGTTTTTGAAATGTTCTCAAAACGACTGAAAAATCTGTTCGGTTTTTCGCAACTAAATATTATTTTATATATATATATATATATATATATATATATATATATATATATATATATATATATATATATATATATATATATATATATATAATAAAAAAAAATGCGACTAAATTTAACTTGTCTTATATGAATTTGAGTTTCAAGCTTTATGCAATCATCTTTATTTATTGAATATTTTATATATTTTGTTTGTATTATTTTTTTACAGCACTATTGAAAATCGAATAAAACAAGGTTGTGTATTCAAGTTTGTCCTACCTAAAGATGAAATTTGTAGAGGAGTTGAATTCCAGTTATACAATGATGCTAAAAATTGGGCAACTATTATTAATAAAAAGCATTCATTTGAATACTACTTAACAAAAAAAAAGAATGATACGTTGTTTGTAAAAGTGGAAAATTTAATGTTTGAAAATGAAAAAATTAATTTTAAGTTTTCATTTCAAGATTCAAAAAATAAAACTTTTCAGCATTATTGTTCTGCCATCATTACAGGTATTATTTACTTATATTTATAAAAATAATTTTTTTTGAATTAGGAACTAATAATTTTAAGAGTTTAATGTAATTTTTTTTAATTAATTGATTAGAGTTCTGGATGTTCTGTACATCATTGGTAGGGTAAAAGGAAATGCTATTCCATGGTGCCTTAATCAGTACTACTGTAATATATTATATTCAAATAGTTTTGTAGCAAACAATATCAGACAAAAAAGTTTGTATAATAATAAATATAACACAGACGTCTGTCATCTATACAATGTCTTATAGGTTACAATTCTGTTTAACATTAAATTATGATAAATGGTTTAAATCAAAATTTCGGAAACCTAGAGATACCGAATTTTGACATGTTGTCCTTACTCTAGTAACAAACATGTTTATTGAATTTTTTACTCAGCTAAAAATAGCTTTGCAAATGGCATAATTTTTCAATAGTAAAAAAAAAGTATTTAGAATAAATTTTAACTAAATTAAATTTTTAAGATAAACCACTAGGGAAAAATATTCAGTACTTGCCATGCACTAAGTGTTTGCAACTTAGTCATTATAAAACATGCAAACCAAAAACTAATTGGTAGAAAGTTTTGAAATCATGTCTAAACTCTTTTTCTTTTACTTCTCTTATAACTTACACTGGAAAAATATATTTTTCAAAAAGGACTTACACTAGACATACTAGTACTTTTCTTTGCATCCTAAAATTATTGCAAATATAAAAAACTTAAGATAATTTTAAAAAGTTCCATAAATTTTCCATGACTTTTTATGAAAATTTAAGAATTCCATGACTTTTTCCATAACCAAATAAAACTCCATGACATTTCATCGATTTTCATGACCAGTGGCCACCCTGTATATGGTGATTATTTCTACCATGACTTTATACTTAAACATGGCTTAACACATTATCTACAAAAAAAGATAGGCTTTAACAGACTAAAATTAAATAAATTTAATACCTGACATCTTTATTCATTGTAAATTTCTAAAAAAGTATAGTAAAAAATTATTAGTGTTATATCAGTTGTCTAACACTTGGAATCTACAATTCTAAACTACTTTTTTATAATAGTTATCTTGACTTACTTATCAGTCCATATCCATTTTGACATACTTATCACATACATACATTTTTAGACACAGCTCTTTTAGAACCTTCTCCATTCATTCATATTCTATGCCCTTCTGGTCCATCAAAATGCATACTAGCTAAAGATACATTTCAAAAATTAGAAAATTTATTCCCTTGGTGACAAATAATTACAGCATTTATGGTGACACAGGTAGTTGTTATTACAGGGTGTCTGCCAGATCAGGGAATTCAGGGAAAAGTCAGGCAATTTAGATATCTTCAAAAAAATCAGAGGAAAATCAGGGAAATTAGGTCAAATTTTAGAAAAATCAGGGGGAAATCAGGGGGAAAATCAGGGTTTTTATTATTTATCTAATTTTAGAGGCTCTTTAATTATGAGTCTTTTTTTTTAAAACTCAGTTTCTAACTCTAAGAAAAGCAATTATTTTTTTTGAGCTTGATTAATAGCTAGCTTTTAGCAACTCAGCTAGTATTTAATTTGTACTAATTAGTTTGTATTAGTTAGTTAACTATTTGATGTTATTAATCAGTTAGTTAACTTTTTTTTTTTTTAACTTTTTATTTGCCAGAATATGTGCAAGGTAAATTTACATTGAATATATTACCGGCAGGACTTCTAGAAGATCACAGGATCTTATCATGACGCCCTTTACAATCTGTATAACAAAAAGAATACAATATTCTAATTTTTTCACAGTCTATATAATAAACAAAATAAAGTATAAATCAAAATAAAAAAAACAAACAACTTAAATACTAAAAATAGATATAAATAATTTGTGTTGAAAAGATAATTTCTCTTACTTTCCATTTAAAAGAAGAAAAAGGCCATTTAAAAGAAAAATTGAAGTTAGGTAAAAAATTTTTATTCTAAAGAGAAGGACCACGATAAGAAATACAAAACTGGTTAAATTTAGTTTGGCAAAATGGCTCTTCGATACTTTTACTGGCGCGAAGATTATATTTGTTTTTAGGTTTCAAATTATAAAGATTTATAAATACATTAGGTGATATATTTTCTTTACATTTAAACATAAAACATAAAATATTTAGTTCAAAACATTTAGTTCGTAAATATTCAAAACTTTCATTTTTTTAAGAAGTGGTGTTGAGCTTGAAAAACGATTTGCAAAATTAATTGTGCGAGCTGCGTTTTTCTGATGTCAATAGAGAGATTTAAGTTTGGTTTTGTGAGCACCCCATATTATATTTATAATATGCATAATTTAAATTGCAATGAATAAATGAATAGTATAGTTGTGTTAATTTATGTTTATTTAATATATGTCTAACTTTATATAGAACTCCAATGCTTTTAGCAATTTTCATTGAAATCAATTTGTTGCCAAGATAAGTTTTCATCTATTATAACTCCGAAAAATTTTGTATTTTTTTCTCTTTTTATTACTGTACTGTCAATATATAAGTCAGGCAAGATATTTTGAATTTTCTCTTTTTTAAAAGTTGGATGAAAAAGTATCCATTTTGTTTTATCCGTATTTAAAGACAACCTATTTTTTTTGAACCAATATGAAATATTATTAAGTTCCTCAGTCATATTGTTAAAAAGTATTTTAATTTCTTCGTTTGACTGAAATAAACTCGTATCGTCAGCAAAAATTATAGTCGCTAAATTGTAAGCTTTGTAAAGATCATTTATGTATATTAAAAATAAGAGTGGCCCAAGTATGGATCCTTGGGCAACACCACATGTTACATTCGTTAAAAATTGAGTCGAAGATTCTTTGTTATAAACAAATTGTTTACGGTTACTTAGATAACTTTTAAACCAGTTTAATTAATGTTGGATGTGGGGTTAGCACTGTTATAAAAAATAAAAAAACAAATGATGAAATCACTTCAAAATATATTTATGCTTTCAACTACAGTTGCATATGTTTTCTACAGTTGTTGACATGTAAGTTTGTGGAAAAATTGCCTTTAAAATATGCCATTGTGGGAAATGTTTTGACCCAGAAATTTTTTTTTATTTTTTTTTAAACATCTTTGCTTCCAACAAGGCTGCAAGCAACCACTAACTAGTGTTGGAAGTTACTGGAAAAGAAAAGATGAAGATTGTAGAGCAAGATAACGATTGACAGAAGATTTAAAAGATTGCAAATTATATGAATCAGGAAAGCAAGATGAAGGAAGCGAATTCCAAAGAACTGATGTTTGAGAAAACTAGGCGAATAAGAGTTTTTGGAGCACTTAGGAACAGTAACAGAAAAAGGATGAGACTTAATTGAATGGCGTTTTTGCACCTTGTCTAAAAGAGAAAGGGTATCATTAGAAGATCCGCCCTAGATATGGCAACAGTATTCCATACAAGGCCGAATTTGAGATTTATAGAGATGGAGAATAGAATCTAGAGTAAGAAATGTCCAGCTCAATAAAGAGATGCAACTTTAGCAGATGCTAATTTTGCAACGGATTTGATATAAGGTTTCTAAGAAAGATCAGAAGTAAGAGTTAATCCTAGAAGATGAAGGGTAGAAGACTCATCGAGTACATTACCGTTCATAAATATAGGAATGCCTAAATTATTGTGATAACGATTGGCTGGAAAAAATTGAGTTTTATCTGAATTAAATAGAAATAAAAAGAAATAATGTGCAATAAAAAATGGCAATGGAAATGATAAGTGATTTGGTTGATAACTTGATTCAATTGCATTGGGTTACTCCAAAAGCTGGGGATGAGGTAAATACCAAATTCAAGAGATATTTAGAAAATATTGTCCCTAAAAACAGGGAACTTTTCATGAATTTCAACAAAATAGATGATAGATTGGATAAGTTCTTTTTTTCTAAAGTTGGTGGTTTAGATAATTATCCAGCACTGTCCAAATTAATCAAAATGGTGCTGATTCTTTTTCATGGTAAAGCAGCAGTTGAAAGAGGGTTTAGCATTAACAAGAATATGTTACAACCTAATTTAATGAGTAAATCATTAATAAGCCATAGAATTGTGTATGACCATATAAAAGCTCTTGACTTATCTACCTGGAATCTATAGTTATTTCTAAGGAACTGAGAGAATCTGTCAAAAAATCAATCAATCAAAAGAGTCAACAAGAGATTGAAATGGCTACTTGAAAATAAACTGAGCTTACAGATGCTCGAAAGCGAAAAATTGATTTACTTGCTATAGACATAAAGGACTTACAAACTAAAAAGGTTATTCTGGAAAAAGTAAAAAAAAAAACGCTAAAAAGTGATTCAGAAGCAATTTTTGTGAAAGCTGCAAATGATACTAAAAAAGCTCATAATTATGCTATTGAAGCAAAAGTTATTCTTGAAGAGAGGAAAAAAAAGAAAGAAGAGATTAAAAAATTAGATGAAACAATTGATTTATTATTTAAGAAAAGTAAAGCTTTGAACTTTTAAATATTAGTTTGTTATTTATATACAGCAAATTATAAATTTATAAAGATATTTAATAGATATTTAAAAGTATATTATATAAGTTATTATTTATTTTTGAAAAGTTTTTTAATATTGATGTAGCAATACTATTTCAGTCTTTTTAAAAGTTGTTTAAACTGTTATCATTTTTTCAGAATTATTTTTTCTGAACTATTTGGTGTATGTCTATTTTTCATCTTTTAAATATATGTTGATTTTAGCTTTAAATTTAACTTTTACATTACTTGTGTAATTCAGTTTATTTTGTTCTGAATGCTATTCATCAAAACAGTTTAGAGTCAATAAAAACATTTTTACATTTTACTTTTATTAAATTTTAAATGTACTCTAATAACATTTGTAACAATGACAACATACTAACAATACTTTAATAAATGTAACAATAATGCTTTATTTTGAAGTGCACATGATTTTTCCATCTATTATTCCCCATTCTTTTTTTAAGTTTTAAAAAAGTCAGGAAAATCCACCTCAAGATTTTTGCAGATACCCTGTCATAAAACAGTTTGATAAACTAAAAAGTAATACAGTATTTTTTTTACATAAAAATAGAAAGCTTACAAAACTAGAATAAAATTAAAAAGTTTAATCTGTATAATGAATTTATTAAGAAAAAATAAATTTTCTGTTTTGTTGTCATATTGAACTTTGCTTTAAAAAAATTTATATTCTATGCCAAATGCTGGCAGAGGTGTTAAAAACAAAAACATTTAGTCTTGATATTGTTTTTTTTTTTAAATTGGTTTAGTGAGTTGGCATACGTTTCAAAACCCCTTTAGCGGTTGACATTCTTGTCGATTTGCTACAGTAAATTGTTGCAAGTTCCTCTCTAAAATTACAGTACATACCATTGTTGCCACTAACTGGTTTAGATTTTGGCATCCACATCAATCACTAAAGCAGTATATTTCTGTGACTCCAGTCTGTGATTTAAAATATCTAAATAGGCAAGAAGTGATCTTGCATTTTTCTCTTCATAATTGTCACTCATGCCACATAAAACAAATGCCCCCTTTGTTTTTTTCGCTGTACACAATGAAATTATACTTCGCTAAATATCTTTTATAAAAAATGAACATTTTTACATGAGTTTCTGTGCACCATAAAAACTTTCTGCAAGTTTATATTTATTGACTTTATAATGCCTCCTGATTTTTGAGCAGTTGTTTTATCCTATATTTTCTTGCTTCTCACTGTTTTTTGTGTCCAAATGTTGTTTTTTAACATCTGCACCATCTTGGACTTCCATTTTTCACTGGAGAAACACCATTTTTCACTGAGAAATTTTTAAAGAGTTTCACAATTTTTCGTATTCCTGCAATTGCATCTTCAATTTGGGACTTAAGTTGAAAATTTTTGTGACAGTATTTCCAAAGTTATTTCTGATTTACAACTTTTTTCGATAAAATTCAAACCAAGGTTAAATGAATTATTTTCATAATTTCTGTGTAAATGAACATCCATGAATCTACGATTTTTAACGCTTGTCTATTCGTCACTAGATATGCTGAACCTTCTTTCTTTATCCTTCAGTTTCTTTACACTCTGTACTATTTCATCTTTCTTGTCATGGTAATAATCCACCATTAATTGTCTCACTTCAGATGGATTTCGAGATAATCTGAATCCCCTGGCGGTCATACTTTACCATATAAATTCACTTTTAGTAATTTTATTGAACGATATACTGTCCTCAGCAGCCAATGTAGAAATCAATTCAGCCAGGGTTAGTTGTTTTACAAATTTTAAAATAGTTTGATTAGTTAGATTTACAACTTTATTACGTTTATTTTGATGCGACGTAGAACTTTCTAATACGCAAGTGTATATGTGGACATTTTTAAGATGTCTCCGCAGACTAATTGTTGCTGAATTTTCTTGTACATAAATTGCCTAGTCTTTGTTTATTTTAAAATATGACTTAACACCAAAAAAGAAATTAATAATATAAACAATCACCTTTTATCTAAATTTTCCATAGATTCGATTGACTCGAATAACATAAAATAATATACCTATCTATTACTTTCACATCATACGAGTATATTAATAAATAGTAAAAAATTTATCTTTGGTTATAACCTTAACGGTACATTTTGACAGTGGCCGATGATGTATAAATGGTATAAAACGTCTATTACTTTCACATCATACGAGTATATTAATAAATAGTAAAAAGTTTATTTTTGGTTATAACCTTTACGGTAAATTTTGACAGTTGCAGTTTACGGTAAATTTTGACAGTTGATGTATAAATGGTATTAACATCTGACACAAAGAACTTGCAATGTGGAACATGCTATTTGGGCTTGCACAGCACTTGGCTTGTGCACATGCATAGAACATGGAACTATAAATAGAATTAGATTAATCATTAAAGAAAATAAAAATTTTAATTTTGTAATTCTCAAGATTCTTCCTTAGTGTACCAACCTTTGGAGGAAGTACTTGCGACTTCTAATGTTTTACCAACCTTTGGAGGAAGTACTTGGGACTTCTAATGTTTTACCAACCTTTGGAGGAAGTACTTGGGACTTCTAATGTTTTACCAACCTTCTGAGGAAGTACTTGGGACTTCTAATGTTTTACCAACCTTTGGAGGAAGTACTTGGGACTTCTAATGTTTTACCAACCTTTGGAGGAAGTACTTGGGACTTCTAATGTTTTACCAACCTTTGGAGGAAGTACTTGGGACTTCTAATGTTTTACCAACCTTTGGAGGAAGTATTTGGGACTTCTAATGTTTTACCAACCTTTGGAGGAAGTACTTGGGACTTCCTTAGTGTACCAACCTTTGGAGGAAGTACTTGGGACTTCTAATGTTTTACCAACCTTTGGAGGAAGTACTTGGGACTTCTAATGTTTTACCAACCTTTGGAGGAAGTACTTGGGACTTCTAATGTTTTACCAACCTTTGGAGGAAGTACTTGGGACTTCTAATGTTTTACCAACCTTTGGAGGAAGTACTTGGGACTTCCAATGTTTTAATGATAACATCATTTGATTCAATTTAATTTGAATATTTTCTCAAATAAGAAACTTGTTCTTATAAAATAAAATATAATTGAATTTCTTGATCAATAATATGTAGATATTTACATAAATTCTAAATAATTCTGTAAACAATGAGTGCAAACTCATAATACAATGTAGTTTTTCAATATAAATATCTACATATTATTTTATACTAACCATGGAAGTGTGTATCTAGTACTTTTAATGTTTCTAAAAATTCTATTTTTATTAGAAATTGAGTAGGTTTTTCTTGTAAAGGAAACTTTGTCTTAAAAGATGATGCATTATTAAGTTTTCCATGTTTATTTAAAACAAAGTTACATTATTTAGTTCTGTTAACATTAAAAGGAAACATTAGAAAATATCGCATGGAGGATGGAGGAAACTAATATCACACAATATTTAGCGTTAAAATTTAAATATCCACACATTTTTAGCAAATTTTGGAGGATGTACTTAAAACTGCTCATTTTTAATTAATGCATACTTATTAATTGAAATCCATTTCCTATCTTCGAAGAAATTGATTTTCATTCTTTATTCAAATAATTAGAAACAGAAGCATCGGCATCTGTAAACAGGAAATAACACAAAATTAATATTATTTTACTATGGCCAAACAATGTGTTTTTGATTAAAAACATGTTTACCAAAGTTTATAGTTATTATTATTATTATTAAACAGTTTGATTCACGATTTTCTTTGAATTATTTCCATCATTCATTTAACTCTACTTTAATTGTTCAATAATGAAATTCCATAATGAAATTTCAAATTTAAATATTCTTAAAAAAAAAGAAGGTTTCCAAAAGAGTATTATAAAAAGATGATTAAATATGATTTAGCACAAAAATAACAGATTTTTTAATCGACACTTGATTATATCTTTTTCAAATATTTGATGTTTGAAAGTAAAAACAAAAAACTAATAAATTTGCATTTATTTATAGTTTTCTTTAACTTTATACTTAATAAAATTTTACTTAATAAAATAAAATAATTTATTTATGTTTTTCAACCCATGAATAAGTTTTTATGCAATAATAAATCTTAGACATGTGTAATCAATAATAAATCCTAGACAAATCCATTGACATGTGCAAACTTGCTTTACATATAGTGTATGTACGTTAGTGCTATAACTAGACATCTATAGTTTTTACACTGTATTATAATTATAGTCATTAATTTGAAAATAACACATTTTAACTAGTATATTTTAATTTGCTTTATTAGTTGCCTCTAATTTAATAATGGTAGCATATTTGAGATGTCCAATTATAGCATTTAGTACTCCTTAATTATAATTATAAGCCCAATTATAGCATTTGGCAAGTTAAAAACTCAAAACCACTGAAAGTTGAGTTATCCAGTTAAAGTATTGGACCTACGATATGTATAATGGAATAACTAAATACATAAGTTTACTAGACTAACTTTTACTTTAACTTTGTAAACTTAGTAACCTTAGTAACCTAAGCTTCTACTATTTCTATTTGTTTTCTTTTTGTTTTTTTACTTTAAAAATTTTAAATAAAAAAAATAAAATAAATTTAATGATTAATTTCATAAATAAGGTTAACAAATTTATTTTTTTATATATTGTGTATATATTTATGTATACTATTTTCATATAAATTATGTATATATTTGTGTATATATATTTTTCAATTTTATTTTACTGTGTAAATTATTTGTATTATACCTTTTTATTCAGGTAATTGCAACTATGAGTTAATATATAATGGCTTGTTCATCGCAACACCTGAACCAATTTTCAACAATAAGTTCAGAAAAAGAATTAGAAAAATAAATTCTTTAGATTGGAGAGAGACTAACAACATCCATTTAGCTAAAGCACCTCATGAATCAATAGAGTTGTTTGCATTAGATTATTTTGATAGAAATTTTTATGATTATAATGAGGTTATTTATGTCTCTCCTTTGATTGCTGATAATGAAAATTTATTTTTTGTGGTTTCCAAGTTTAATGATTTACTTACTGTGAATAAAACAGGGATACGTGCTGTATTACCTGGCTACCGTTTACGTTATCATGCAACTCTTTTAAAGTTTGATGTTAAAAAATTTACTAATTATAAAGATGAAAATAGAATAATAATATTTTGCTCTAAACTCAACCTTGTTATCATTGCTCGTGTTGCGACATCAATGGATTGCATCAAGCTTGAATCTGAGTGCTGTTTAAATGATGTCATATTATTTGTTAACATTAACAATCCTCTTATTGACACTAATAAACTTGTTATTTTAGGAATTGTAATTTTACCTTTTCATGATCGTAAATATTTAAAAGAAGAATTATTTTTTCACTTCTCTGAGAATTTTGATTTAGATCAAATTTTGTTTTTATGTAAAGATGAAATTGCAGATGACAGTTTTGAAAGTTGGTGGAGATCAGTTGTGTCATACTGCATTAAAAAAGTAAATAGTAAAAAAAATAGTAATGAAATACTATTTAAGAAACTCATTAGCTTAACTATGATGTCAATGGCTAAAGTTGACCATTGTTTTCCCACATTAGAATCAGATCCTCAAAAACAAATACAATCATTAATTCTTAATGTTGAACAAAGGAATGCAATTAACGATAAAGCATTGAAAAAAATTATTACTGGAGGATATGGTTCAGGAAAATCTATAGTAGGAAGAGAGATTGTTAAAAATTATGTAAAACATAAATCAGAAAAACCTCTTACTTTGTATTATATTTGTTGCAACCATTTCTCTTTGTATGAATGCCATATGAAAAAATTTGTTGACAATATAGAAAAAGCCTCTAATGTTACAGTTATTTGTGATAATTTGTATGAGTTATGGAAAAGTATGTGTCGGGATAATAATATGTTAAAAAAGGATATTTCTCTTCCAATATTACTAGAATATTTGGCTAACACCAACAGTAATAAAGTATGTTTTGTACTTGAAGAACTTTCTGAGGAGTTTGTTAGAGAAGATGACGCAATTCAAATAAAACATTTATTTACATCTGTTTTAAAAGAATCTTTAGTTGTTTTTATACCTGAAAGTATTACAAAGAATAGAAAACTGGTAACAAGTAAACAAAAGCGTACACTGCAAAGAAATTTCTTTCAAGAAGATATAATAGGAATGAAGGTTATATCTCTTAATAAATCAATGAGAGTTACCAGATGCAATAAATTATTAATTGATGTTGCTCAAAAAGCTATTTCTGAAACAAAAAGTGTTTTAGACATTCAAAACACAAATTTTAGATTTTTACAAAAAATTGAAAAAAACAAGTTGTTTGGCAATGAAGATTTGCAGATTGAAAAAGTAGAAGATTTCCAAAGTTTATCATTGACATTGAATTCTAATATTGATTCTAAAAATGAAACTAAAAACAAAACAAGTAGATCCATGGAAAACAATGAAAAAGATAGTAAAAAAACTAATGATACATTACCTTATAATTTAAATTATGTAGATACAGTAAAAACAACTTGTTTGTCAATAGTTAATTTAGAAAAAGATACTAAAAATGAAACTAAATACGATACAAGTAAATCCACATTAAAAACTTCTGATATGGTTTTAAAAAAGGTTTTAAAAAATCAAACTAATTACACTTTAGATAATAATTTAAATGGCACAATCAAGGTAAAAGATAATTATAATGCATCTCTCGACATAAAAAAAGATGATAACTATGCTTCAAATATTGCTTATGATAAAAATATTGATAAATTAACAGACTCAGATTTATATCAGAGAATAGAAAACAAATTTACAATTGTTAATGATTTTCATGATAATGATTTAGATTATATGGCAAAATTAATTGCAAAAAATACTAATAATGTTGATCAAAATAGTTATATGGAGACGGAATATGTTTTCAGGTCTGGGTTCATAGGACACTCTGTTGAAGGAGAAAAACCTAAGGTTGTATATTTACCTTTTCATGATATAGCAAATAAACAGTCTGTAAAGTTATTGTCCATTGTGTTAGAAAACCTTTGTTTTGATGTATTAAGAAAAACAGTGGTTATATGCAGCAACATGGAAGAAGTGCAATCTGTTGCATATGCAATAGATATAATTGGGAACTTTAAAGCAATAACCTATTCACCACATTTGCAAAAATACTCACCAACATTAGAAACAAAAATTGAAATAAATAAAAAATTAAGAAGTGACATGGATATTCTTATAACTGACTCCAAAGGATTTTCAGGAGCAGAATCTGAATTTGTAATTGTGTTTGTTAGCCCAGAAGAGATTTATTATCGACATGTTCTTGTAGATGCAATATCAAGATCAAATTCACATTTAATGGTTTTTGTTAAAAGTTACAGTGAAGACAAAGAACCTTTAAATATAGATAAAACTATTGGCAATGTTTTAAATAATTTGTCAGAAGATGTTGTGGAAAAAATTAAAGTTGTAACATCAAATAATAAAAATCAAAAATCATTAGATGGTTTTTTCATAATAGATGAAGATTGCAAGGAGTTTATTGATCGTGGAGTTGATAATGACTTTGACAAATATAAAGAGAATTTACAGTTTAAAATTTTTCATGAAAATAACATTATGTAAGTATTTAAAATATTATATATACTTTTTATGTACTTATTTTGACTATGTAAATACATACAAAGATGAATTCTGCAACATTGACAGAAGGTTTGGCATAAGGAAGTTATCTTTCTTTCATTTTTCTTTGTTTTGTTAATCTTTTTCTGAAAAAGCTATAAAATTATTCAAAACTAGTAAGCAATATTAGTTATCTAAATACACACACAAGTTCAGCTCTTCCACCATTTCCAACTTTTAAAATGTACTCTTAAAATTTTGCTGCTTTTAACAATGTATGCCATTAGCTCTTAAATATCTTTTATGTAAGCTCAGCCATTACCTTTTAATTTTTTTTTTAAGTAAGCTTAACCATTACCTTTTCATTTTCTTTTAAGTATACTTAGCCATTACCTTTTCATTTTCATCAAACTTAATAGATCTTACATTAAAATTTTCATTTAAAACAATGTCATCTGTAACAAATTTGTTTTTCTAAACTTTTTTTAACTTTTGAAAATACTTAAAGCTTCACCAAGTTGTGTGTTACTGAGACCACAAGTTGTGTTTTACTGATACCACATGTCGTGTGTTACTGATACCTCAAGTTGTGTGTTACTGATACCACAAAGTGTGTGTTACTGGTACCACATGCAACTTTTAATTTGTTTACTTTACTTGTAATAATCAGTGAATCAATCAACAAATCTTTAAAAGAGATCTTTTTTGTACACTAATTTCAAACTTTTGTTCAAGTATTTTTGCATTTTGTTATCTTAATAAAAATGTACAATATACATAAATTTGCTTAATTCTTTTTTGTTTTAGAGTTATAATTTAAATTAAATTTTAATAAGAATTTAATTATATAGATTTTATTCTTTTATCTAGTTGCTTTATGTTTTTTTATCTCTCTGTAATACAACAGATGTGTGCTAAGAGTCAACCAGTAAAATTAAAATCTCTTTTTCATACTTTATTTGGTTCTGGAAAGGGAATAATATTTGAGTTAAGTTTTGGCCTTCTTTTTTTTTCTATATTTGATTGAGACTTCTATCTATAAAGCGTATAGCAAATTGGCAAAACTGTTGGTTTCTGATCAGATCAGCTTCTTTGATGTTTGAAAAATCAAATTGTTTAATGAAATAGCTAAATGACGCAATAAAATAACGTAAAAATGACAAAATCATTAAAGTTTTTTTATCAATGAAATATTTTTTGATTCTCATTAAAACTACACTTTACCATCTTGAATTTTACTTTACTCCTTTTTCAGAACAAATCAAACAAATTTCTACTTTTACTGTGACTTTGAACACAAATCAATTCTTCGTCTTTTAAATGTGAAAAACTTAATAATATTTAACTAAAGCACAAATAATAGTTACAAACAAACAACAAAACTTAACTAATGATAAGCATATAACTAATGCAGCCAAATAAATAAAAAGGTTTTTAAAATTAAATTGCTTTAAATTAAATAATTTCAATGATTGTTACAACAAAGAAATTGAGGGTTATTTCAATTCATGTGACATATTAGAAAGGAAGTTTGTAAAAGTAAATTAGCAAATTTTGTATGAACATGCTTCAGTAAAACATTTTTAAAAATGGCATGAATTGTTTATCCTAACAAAGGTGTAGGCTATGTTAGCAAACAAGCCTCTCAATCTGTTCATCATTATTTAAGTCAATTCTAGGAAAACAGTTACAAAGTATCCAGCTGTCGTAAATAATTTTCTAAAAAATATTTTAAAATACAACTCTTGTCATTTTTTTTTCAAGTTTTACTTAGTGAATTTATATTTTCAATTAATTTGTTTATTGTATTTATATCTTGTAAAAAATTTGTTTGTAAAAGCCTTGAAACTATTGTGATTAAGTATAGTGGTCTTTAAACTATTGTGATTAAGTATAGTGGTCTTGAAACTATTGTGATTAAGTATAGTGGTCTTGAAACTAGTATAACAAGCTTTATAACACTTTTAATTTTACAACACCTTTTAATGCTTGAATAAGATTCAAAAAAAATTTTTTTAAAAGCCTTGAAACTATTATGATTAAGTGTTTTTTATTTTTCTTAGCAAAGATGAGCTGTTTTTTAGAAGTTTTAAATTTTGTAAAAATAATTTATTTATCAAACATTTTTTTAAAGTAAAATATCAAGCATTTATAAATGTTTGATATTTTAGCCAATCCTTAAAATGTTAATTAAAACTTTTTGTTTAAAAATTGTAAGCATTTGAAATAATTATTGGGGTAAATGGACAAATAATGGACTTAAAATTTTTATAAATTTTAACAATAAGTGAAAATTATTTTCAAAATTATTTTAAAAATAATTTATTCATGTCTTGATAAGAAGCCAACACTCTCTGACTGTTGAGGGGCACTTGAGTTTGAAAAAGATCTCATCTAGGGTTTAATTCTTGGATCTATGTTTAATTTACATTAACAATCTTCCAGATATTCTCCTATTTAAAGTAGCATTGTTCACTGGCGATACTACTGTTTATTCATGTCTTAATAAAAAGCCAACACTCTTTGATTACTTGGAGGGGAACTTGAGTTTAAATAGGGTCTCACTTTTGTTACAGTATAAGCCTTTTAGTGGCTGGTGAACATTATCTCGAATAAAACTTAATTTTTTCAACTAATTTTAATTGCAACAGTCTAGAACTTTCCATATTTATTTATGGTAATGTGCTCAAAGATTCATCTACCCTTGATCTTCTATGGTTAACACTTACTTCCATTCTTGGAAACCATACATAAAATCCTTTGTAAAATAAACATCTGCCAAGGTTGCATCATTTATTTTGTTTGCCACTTTTTTACTCTAAATTCTATTCTTTATCTCTATAAATCTCTAATCAATCCTTGTATGGAATACTGTTGCAATATCTGGAGCAGGCCTTTAAATGAGGATCTCTTTCTATTTTAGACAAGGTACAAAAATGCATTAAAAACATAGTTGAACCTGCTCTTGCAGCCAACCTGCAACTATTGCCACATTGTTGTAATATTGCTTCTCTTTTTTATTTTATAAATACTAAAATAGATGTTGCTCTTTAGAGCTAGCATCTCTTGTGTCATATATTAAAATTCATTCTTGTGTTACTTGTCAATTAATTAATTTACTTTTACTTTTTTTTTTTTTGTCAAGTTTTTTTCTTGAACATCAATTCTTCGGAATTTATGCCATTTATCTTGTTTTAGTGAATCATATAATTTTTAATCTTTAAAGTCGTCTGTTAATCGTTATCTTTCTTCTTTAACTTCATCTTTTTCTTCCAGTAACATTCAGCTCTAACAGTGGTTGCTTGCAGCATGTATATATATACATATATATGTATACATATATATATATATATATATATATATATATATATATATATATATATATATATATATATATATCAGTTTTAATGACATAAGGTACACTGCTTATGATCTTTGCTATCGCGAATCTTACATGGCAGCCAGACATGGAACAGGTTGCAATGTATCACCTGTTACCAGTAGCAAGGTAATCATGATTATTATATCCCATGTTTATTATATGCCTGATATTATATGGCTTAACAAATGTAGATTTGCTGCGTTTTTCCACACTACACTAATTGTGCTTAAGTCACCTATCTATAGAAAATGTGAAACATTTCTTACTACACTAATTGTGCTTAAGTCGCCTATCTTTAGAAAATGTGAAACATTTCTTGTAAGGCATTGATGATGACATTTTCATTATCATAAAGTTTTTTAGAATAATTGTTAAAAAGAAAGTAGTAAAACTAAAGCAACCTCTTGAAATACTGCCCTTTACCTGTTTTTCTGTGCAGATGTACAAATTTTTTAGTTCGAGAAAACAATAAGCTGAAAGAATGGCTCCATAGTTTTTTGTGTATTTTCTTGCAATCATATACATGGTTGTCGAATCTATCTGTTAAATTGCCAGTTCTGCAATTGGAAATTCAACAGATAGTTTTTCCAGTATAAGTAGATCGTCCATGGCATGATAAGCATTTTAGATAATAAATGATATTTTTGCTAGTACATGTAATTTTACTTTTAATGTTCCAAATATTGCCATTGGATTTCTCAAACTTATCTATTTCTTGTAAATATAACGGCAGGTTTTACATCGATGGTTTTTGTCAAGTCCAATTTAAAATTTTGAGCACATTTGCCTCAGAAAGTTTAGTAGTTACTGGGTGTTGTATAGTACTGCAATTACTGGGTGAACATTTGAAAAAACTTTTTTTACTTTTTTATTATCAGATTAACTAAGTAATGTAAAATTAATTTGCAAGTAGTTTTAAATATTAAGCAGGGCTCAAATTAACGCAAAAAAATCTAATAGCGAAAAAAAAAAACTTTCAAAACCTTCTCACCCCCCCTCCCCTCACCCCCATCCCCTCCCTCTCCTTTCTTATACCTTATGCTGCTTTGCAGTAATGGGGGAGGGGAGGGGGAGAGAGAAGTGTATAATTGTAAGTTTTGTACGTAATTGTTCTATTTTTAACATATTATCTCTCATATTTAAATATAATCTTATAATTTATATTTAATTTAGTTATAAGTTAAAGTTTAAGTTGCAGTTGTAATAAGCAATAACGTTTTTAATACTACTAAGATATTTCTTTAAGTATATTTTTACTTAACATTTAAAACATACTTATAAAAGTAAAACTAAAAAAAGTAAGAGAAAAAGCAACATTACAATATCTAAACCACTTTAATTAGTCAAAGAAAACTATTTAATACGTTTATGCTGACGTTAAAACACGTGTTAATTTTAATTGTTAAAAGCTATAAAAGCTTAAAGCAAACTTTAAAGTTGTTTTTAAAATATAAAGAGTCTGGGTTAATGTAAAACAGATTCGTGGCGCTTTTCGTGTTGATTTATACGGTTTATAAAATAAAGCGCGTTTATAATAAAATGAAGCAAATAAATAAAATTGATCTAGTTAATAAACTAAAACAAAACTTCATATTTGCGCCTATAGACCTATACGAGTTTATAATCTATAGACCAAACAAAGCAAAAAAACATTAGTTACTACGTCTTTTATAAATTATCGTTTCTTGATAAAGCGTACTATTAAAAATTTAAATATAATTAAGTTTTTCATTCAAATGGTTTTTAAGCTGATGTTTTCATTCAATTTTTTTTTTTGTTCTAATTGTTTTCCAAAAAAAAGAGAAACAAAAAATTTTGTTTAATAAATCGAATTATATTAAGTATAAGAATTTGCTTAAATTATTTTTTTAGAAAAAAAAATTTTGAACAGAAGTAAAATAATATATTAAAATTTCATTTAAGTTTTTTATATTTTTTATTTTAACTTGCAATTTGCAATCACTGCTTTGATGTTTGCAATAGAATGTTTCTACTTTTAAAACTATTTTCAAGAAAAAATATATAATTCAAAATGTTAACAAAATTTACGATTTACGAAGAAAAAAAACTTTCCTCTTCATTTTCTCTTGTTTCATCAAAAAAAAAATTTAATTTTTAAATTTTTTTTTTCAATTTCAAATTTCAATCACAAAATTATTTGAATAAGTGAATTTTAACGCTAAAGTTCTCTTGTTCAAGATTTCTTTTTAAATCAAATTCCCGAAAACAACTTGCATCTTTATAGAAAATGTTTAGTCTAGATGTCACTATAAATAAAATGAAAATATAAAAAAATGGTGTCACGTTTTTCATATTAGAATATGAATACAATTTTACTAATAGAAATTTTATTTAATAAAAACTGAATAATATATATTTTATTATACTTAAAGTATTAAAAATAATTGTATAAAATTGTTTATAAAATAATAATTTAAATCATTATTAATAAGTTAATGTGGAGCAACGTTTTTTTTTTAAAAAAAAGATAAAAAAGTTTTGTCAAAAAAAATAGAATGAAGAAAAAATTCTTTTCAACTTTTGTCTATTTAATTTGCTTCTACGCAGAAATTTAAAGTAATTTAATTTAAAAAGTTCCTTGAATAAAAATCTCCGCGCGAAAGAGCAAGATCATGCACGCAAGATCATACATCGTGAATAGAAATTCAAGACAAACTTTGCGTGGCGTACTTTACTATGAAAACATAACTTTTAAGTTGTCAAAAAAAAAAGCTAAATTAGAAAAGTAGTAAATAAACAACTAAAAAAGTAAACCAATCGCGAAAATATATGTTTTAAAATGAAAAAACTAATCGCGGAAGTGTAAAATGCACTTGCGATTCGCGATCGCTAAACGCTTGTTAAGCGATCGCTAAACGCCTGTTAAGATAAAAACTAAAGGTGCAATGATGCATCAGTATTAGCCTGCCAATGCATTGATCATTTAGCTGATGCATTGGCATCGGTCTTGGTAACCATTAGCTGATGCCGATTGTTTTATAAAATCAATTTTTTTATCCTTATGTCTCTGTATTGTATGCAAAAAAATAATTATTCTTTATTCTTTTTAAATAATAAAAAAAAAATTAAAATTAAAAAAACTTTAAAAAAATAATTCAGCTTTATTGTAACCTTTGAAAACTTTATACAGTTTAATTATGACACCTCATTGTCTTCTTTTAACTAGTGAGGGCATTATAAGACAAGCTAGTTGATTTTTATAGCATAATTAAAATCAAGTTAATGATTTGTTTCAAAATTGCTGCAGCTTTTGTTATAGAGCACTGTATCAAATACTACCTTAACCCTATCCATTTAAATAGTATGTTCATACCTTTCTCCTTTATTATTGTTGCAAATATAGTTAGTATACATAGCTGACATCAAACTTTGGACTTCTAGATTCTGAAGCAGGGATTACAAAATGGCTGCTATAATTTACATTATTTAAATTTAGTTTAAAGTAAAATTATTTATATAGTAAATTGGAAAAACCCTTTAAATAACAACTTAATACTTTTGACAAAAGGCCAAAGTTTACAGAATCAAAAAAATCGTAATTCAGTAGTAAGGTTGTTTTTCTTTACAAATGGGTTGTTAATAAATGTTAATAATAGTCTCACCAATTTTTTTATGATGTTTTAAAATTCTGATTTTTGACATGCCAATGTAAAATCAAAATTAAACATTTTTTTATCTTGTTTTTTTTTTTTTTTGTTTTATTAAAATTTGAAACTAAGATTTATTTTAATTTTTCTGTACATGTTGTAAATAATAAATTATAAATAATAATAATAATAATAATAAAGACATAATTTTGTTTAGATATGAAACTATGGCTTATGATCTGTCTAAGCAAACAAGGAAAGAATTTATAAATAGTGAGGTTTTATTTTTGAGTTGTTCAATATGAAAAAGGCAGTAATGTTTTAAAAATTACTTTAAATATTTATCTTTAGAAATAAATCTCTAAAGATAAATATTTAAAGTAATTTTTCTCAAGGCTTTTTTTGGGTTCCTTAGAGATAAATATCTAAACACTTTCAAATTATTTTAAAAGCTATTTCAGTTTCTTTAAAAGTTTCTTTTCAAAATAAAGTAACAAATTTGTGATTCATTTATAATTCCATATAATCTTAATATTCTCATATAATTTTTATTGAAGTATTAAGCTAATATTTCATTTAATTAATCATTTTGGGTTTTGAATTTGAAATATTTAAAAAAAAAACCTGCCCTAAATCCTGCTGCTTTGTATCATTTATGTTTCTAGGCAAAGGCTTGAAGAAATAAACTCTGCCTTTAAAAAAATTAAGGCAGGTACTTGAGGCCCTTTGTTGTGTAAAGACTAGAAAGCATGTTTCAATTAAAATGCTCATCCTTGGCAAATGTTAACTGCATCTAACAACTGTCTTATAGAAGGACTCCTAGCAAAGACTTCAGGTGTAAGCAGAGCAACGGACTTGTATAAAAGATGCAAATTTGTAAACTTTTATTTCTTCTTATTGGTTACCAGTCAAACAACATTCTATTCAATGGTTTTTACCTTTTTTTGCAGCAGCTATGTGTGGCTTTAATCATTTTTTTTTTTATCTTTTTCAAAAGAATAACTTTCCTAGCATTAAATGCCTTTTAAATATTACAAGAATCAAAATAAAAAGGTGCTGTTTGATGCTAAGCCCCATTAATTTTAGTTTACTAAATCTTGTATATTATCTCAGAAGTTAGGCTCTAGAGACCTTCAAAACATCTCTGATTCATGTCTAGAGTTTGCAATCCTGTGATATGTTTTTAATCCTGATTACATTGATTGATTTTAAACACCTGAAAGATTTTACCATATTATTTAAGTAAAGTTTTAATAAAATTAATAAACTACTTATTAAATTACAAGGAAATTCTTTGGCTTTTTAATACTAAAATGCTGAATTATTAAATTATAAAGAGTTCGTTATTTTTATAGATATAATATAAATAGGTAATTATTTTTGATTATTTTTAAAATAAGTTTTGAGGAAGCAGTGCACATCCAAAGTTTACATGCCCAGATGACTTATTTTTAACATTATTTTTAACAGATGATTATTTTTGTTGCAAAAAGACAGCCCACTGAAAAAGCTTCAGATTCTACACTGGTTGGTTTAATAGTCATTAAAGTATTATACATTCTTTGCAAAAAATTAATGCGTGTTCCTCCATTTTCAAATAAAAGCATTTCCTTTTGAACTTTCATTGACAGCTTCTCGCATCGAGATGGTATGCTGGGCCAATGTGCTTTTTTTATAGCTTTGTTAAGTTTGTTAAAAATTTTCAATTTTCATAAAAACTGCAGAATCTCAGGATTTCGGGATCTCGGGATTTACAACCCTATTCATGACTCTCTCTTCAAAGGATAAGGCAGAACAATTTGCAAAAAACATTTCCGCTAATTTGACTCTTGAGTATTATATACTTATGCTGCAATTCCAGTTAAACAAGTTAACCTATTGCAAAATGTTTGACTTCTGTTGCAACGTCATTTCTCAATTAAACTCTTGTACAACGTGGTCCTTCTTAGTCGAGAAAACATTCCTGATATTATCTTACAAATCTCATTTCCTCTTGCTGAAAAGTGGAATATGTATATTCCATTTTACTACTCTTTATCTGACTACTAAATGGCCTGAGAACCATAAAACTGAGTTTTAGAGCTGTACCCTCATTTAGAGATAAAAGAATGAGTTGTCTAATCATAAAAACAGAGACACAAGTAAAACCCATGCAATGAGTCAAGAAGACTCAGCATTTGACATCCTAAACTGAAAACAATGTATCTAATTACATCTATGCTTGTCTAATAGATAAAGAAAGGAGTGCAAAGCTGCCAATAAAATCTGTTAAGTCTTTGTCTAGAAGGCTTTCTACAAAACAGTAGCTAGATGTATTTAACATCTGCTCTAGAAAAAGATTTTTATTGAGACACCATCTCTAGCCTTTACTCAATCAAGAGCCCCAATGCAGGGCATTTTTATGTTAGAGTTTGTTTCTCCTAGTCTTTGCCAAAACAATTAAACCCTACAAGGCAGCATGGCATAAGACAGGTGGTACTGGGTTACATGATAGTAGTTGCAGGGTGTTCATGATGATCCTGAACAAAACCCGTCCTTAAAATAAACAAATACACACACTCATATATAAATTTACAAATATATATATATATATATATATATATATATATATATATATATATATATATATATATATATATATATATATATATATATATATATATGTATATATATATATTTGTATAGATTTCGATATATAGAATATATTCGAGGTTAAGTATTTTGATGTAATAATACGAAGTATGTGTTACAGTGCTCAATATTACTGAATAATAGAGCTATATATAAACTAATATTAACGTATTAACGGCTGATGATTGCCTTCGGGCATGAAACTTTAAGTCCCGCTAATCAGTTGTTTTTATTCATCTAAATATAATTATATATATATATATATATATATATATATATATATATATATATATATATATATATATATATATATATATGTATATATATATATATATATATATATATATATATATATATATATATATATATATAATATATATATATATATATATATATGTATATATATATATATATATATATGTATATATATATATATATATATATATATATATATATATATATATATATATATATATATATATATATATATATATATATATATATATATATATATATATATATAACTTGAAATATGTTTATAACCAAAAAGTTAGTCAACAAAATAAACAATAAACAAAATATTTTCTTCTTTTTAGTTACACTAATTATAAATTTTAATATTTTAGCACTAGAGGCCTTTTAAAAAATTATCAGTAGTGCTGTTTTTGTTATCATAACAACAAAATATAATTTTTTCTAAAAACAGGAAATAATAATTATTTAATGTTGCTGTTAGCAACTATTGTAATCTATATTGTAATGTCAATTAAAACTATCATGTTTTTGGTTGTGAAAATGCTTCTCATAAAAAATAAGGTTTTTTTCATTTTTTAGCTCCACAAACACAAAAAGCTGGAAAAAAGGTTCTATAATGGTATTATGCGCATGTTGACAATTGTATACATGGCTATCAAACCTATCTGTTGATTGCTCAATATATATATATATATATATATATATATATATATATATATATATATATATATATATATATATATATATATATATATATATATATATATATATATATATATATATATATGTTGCTACATCAACTGACAAATGAAAGCCTGACTCGCATAGGAATGTGCTGCAACATCAAGTAATATATTTCCAAGTAATATATGTAAATTTTTTTTTTTTTTTCTTCACTTCCAACAAGGCTGCACTATAAGAGTTGGAAAATACTAGAAAAGAAAAGATGAAGTTTATGGAGCAAAATAATGATCAACAGACTTAAAAGATTGCAAATTGTATGAATTGGAAAACAAGATGAAGGAGGCGAGGAGGTTCTAAAGAAAAAAAACTAGACAAATAAAAATATTTATAGCACTTAAGAAAAGTAAAACAATGAAACTTAATTGAATGGTGAGAAACACAAGAATGAATTTTAGCATATGGCAAGACAGATGCTAGCTTTTAAGAGCATTGCCAATTATAGTATTTATAGAGAAGAGAAAGAGAAGCATCATTACAACTATGGTTGAAGGTTGGCTGCAAGAGCAGGTCAAACTATGTTTATATTGCGATTTTAAACCTTGTCTAAAAGAAAAAGAGCATCATTGGAAGATCCTTCTCAGATAAAGCAACATTTTTCCATACAACAACAGATTTAAGATATATAAAAATTAAGAATGGAATCCTGAGTAAGAAAGTGTCCAGCATAAATAAAATGGTGCAATATTAGTAGATGCTAATTTTGCAATCAATTTGACAAGAAAGGTTTCCAACAAAGATCAGAAGTAAGATTCAATACTAGCAGATGAAGGGTAGATGACTCATTGAATACATTACCGTTCATAAATATAGGAAGATCTAGACTATTGAAATAACGGTTAGCTAAAAAAAATTATTGCATCTGAGTTAAAGTTCACCAGCAACTGAGAGCCCCATGCCGTAGCATAGGTGAGATCCTTTTCAAGCTTAAATATTTTTCAAACTTAAATCCTTATCAAATCTTAAATTCTTAAATCCTTTTCAAGCTTAAATCACCTCCTTCCCCCCCCCCCCCCTCCTCCAAGCTATCAGAGAATGTTGGCTTTTTATCAAGACAAGAATAAATGGCAGTATCATCAGCAAACAATGCCACCTTAGATGTGAGAATTTCTCGGAGATTGTTAATGTAAATTAAAAAAAGTCTAAGGTTAAAGATAGAATCTTATGGAACCTCTGAAGTTACTGGGTATGAAGAAGAATGCTGTCCATTAAGACACCTTTTATACTACAATTGGTATGGAAGGATTCAATAATTTTAAACATGTTACCTGATACATTGTAAGAGGAGAGCTTATGAACAAAACTAGCATGGCAAAGCTTTTGGAATGTTGAGAGTGATGGGCTAAGCCTCTCCACATCTATCTACTTCGCACAAAAGTTCAGGAGTACACTTTTGCAGGACTATATCTGGTATGTTATCTGGACCACAAGCTAAAGAAGAGTAGAAGAGTCTAAGTAGGGACTTACTTTTGATACAGAAGTTGGAGTGATATGAAGGTCTGGCAATATCAGATCAACCTGTTTGTTAGCTATATCAGGAAGAAAAGGACACGTGGAATCAAGAGATAATATTGATGAGAAATTCATAACAAACAAAACAGCTTTGTCTTTGAGTGAGGTGATAAAATCTGAACCATACAAGAGAGGTGGAATAACAGATTTGCCCTTGGTGTTAGACAAAATATTTTTTAAATGGTTTCTAGCAATATTAAGCAGGCGTCTATTTATTGGAGAATTGTTTTGCTGTTAGATATAAAAGTAATGGTTTCTATTGAAAATTGCAGCAGCATAATTTGAGGAAAACCATGGAACAGAGAGAGGCCTTACTTAAAATCATCCAGAGTTAATAAAAGATTGCATGCTAGCCTGAATCTAAGAAGTTACGTAAGAACACATTTGTCAGGAAGAGAGGATTTGTAAGACGAAAGATTTCTACCTATAGGCCATCACAAAGTCAAAAAGAAAATCACTGTCTTAATCAGCTTTCAGGTAGTTAAATCTGAGGTACAATGGTAAGGGAATTCTGTTGATGATGATATAATAGATTAAGAGAGATCAAACCGTGATCAGGAGCAGCTAAGTGTTAATGTAGAAAACAAGACCCAAGTCGAGTAGGGAAGATAAATGGTTTTGATTGTCTTGAAAGGGAGTTAAAATGTTGACTTGTTGTGTTAGAAATTTAGAAAGACAAATATTGTAGGCCTTAATGCCAGCAGAGTCACTGACACAAGAGCCAAGCCATTCAGTGTGATGACAATATAGTTAAACAACAACAATATTCACTGAAAATGAAGAGAGAAGGGCATGATTAATTTGATTAGAAAAAAACATCAAAAAGAGTGTAGTCTTGAAATGAAAGAGAGCAATATAGAACAAAGAGAAAGGCAAAAAAGTGAAGTAGTGCTAAGCAAAAGCACATAAAAGAATAGTCTGTGAATTCAAACCTAGTTTTCCAACTAATGGGTGAATTCTTTTGAATGTAAATGCCTAGGCCAAGTATGTGACTATTAAAGTCTTTACGAATTAAAGGAAGATATCCATCAACACAAAGATCACAAAATTAGTTAGCTGAACTTAATTTAGTCTCACAAAGAGCGAGTAGGTCTGGTGAAATTTTTAATAGATAGGACTTAACAGAAGAAAAGTTAATTCAAGACCACAATTATTAGTAAATGATAGATTTAGAGAACTTGTTGATGACAATGGTTTTTTGTGTTTTATAGTTTTTAATACATTAACGATTATTAAATTTGTTAAAAAACTTGACTCAAAGCACAGATAGTATTCAGTACACTATTTAATAGTCCATTCAATGGCTTCATTACTGTTATTAAATCCTAACTTTAACAAAGGGCTCCAAATGTGGTCTTGACAATGCACACCAAAAGTATTAACAGGAACACCATCCATGTGCAACATGGCACTGTTAGTACTCTGATATTTTACATCGGTTGATGGAATCAACCACTTTTACAACTACCACAAAATTCAGGAAATCTGACTACCACCCGGCCTCAGAACCATAAATCTGAGTTTTAGCTGTACCCTCAGTAGGAGATAATAAAATGAGTCTATTCATAAAAACAGAGTCACAAGCAAAACCTATGCATTGAGTCAAAAAAATCTAACATTCATTTTTCTAAACTTGAAACAATGGGTTCTAAATTTATTAGCGCCAGCCTATTAGATTAAGAAAGAGTGGCTGGTTAACAGATAGAATTTGTTTACCCCTTGGACATGAAGCAGGTTGTTTTTTGTTACATGTTACCAGTAGCATGATAACTTGACCTGACTGAAACTTAAATATATGTTATATTTAGGCTTTTTTATACATTTTTTCAAACTGGATGAAACTGATCATCAATTTTCAGGTTGTATATAAATGTTTTACTTTTTGTGGGGTTTGGGTTGAACAACAGATAAAAACTGTTCCAAATTGCATTTTTTGTTTTATTATCAATATGCAAGCAGCATTTTCAGGTTTCAGGATGCTTTAAGACTTTTAATAACATTTTTTGTCATAATAATTTTCATGACAAAATCAGGGTGCCTAACTAGAATATAAATTCAAAATTTTAGAAGATTTTAATGAAATTTTTGCGCTATCAATTAAATATATATGTAAACATGCAACCCTCGGAATTAGGAAAAATGAGGTCAGCAATAATTTGCTGGCCTCAATCGTTTTGAGGTCGGCATCAGGTCAGCAAAAATTATTTGATACAAAGGTCTGACAATAAAACATAGAAACGAGGTCGGCAATTTATGCCGACCTCAGACACTTTCAAGTCAGCAGTTTGATCAGCATTGCTAAATGCCGACCCTAATTCCAAGAGTTGAAACGTGTAATAATAAATATAAGTAATGCTATTAATTAAATATGTATAAATAATGCTATTAAAATGTATAAATAATGCAGCTAATCAAATATGTAAACGTGTAATAATAAATAATGACGATGTAAACATTTGAACAATTTAATGAAGTTTTTGTACTATTAATTAAATATATAAATAATATTTATATAATTTTTTTAAAGCTTTTTTTAGTGGAAGATTGAGGTCTAGCTGCTTAACTTTTTTGTTAAGTGTTCCTAAAGGATTTTGTTTTTGCAAAGACAGTTAAATCTCCCATTTCTTCTGCCTTACTGATTACTTTGTTTGCAACAGGTTTGAAAATTAAAGTAATATATGTTTAAATACCTTTAATATTTAATGATATGCTTGTGGTCTTTGAATTAACTTAAAATCTGTTGAACCTTACTTTTTGCAAAGTTGATCAGACTTGTTTTTGCAATATCATTTCATCAAAAAAATATTGGTGCCTCACAAATTTGGTTATGATTGGGTTTTGGCTATTTGCAGTGAGTCTATTTTACTGCAGTATGGAAGAGGCATAACTTGCAGGGTAAAGCATATGTTGCAAAGCATATATTGCAGTTATTATGCTGATCCTTATTGATATACCAGTAATGATAGACGCGGCTCTGAGAAGATGTTTATTACTTAACCACTTCACAAAATAGGTTTTCACATTAGCATTAATGTTGTTGTTTTTTTTATTCTCAGACCGTTCTCAGACATTGTTGTGTGTATACTTTTTATTTTGCAGTCAATTTTTATTTTGTGAGTTTTTGTTTGGTGGTATATTTTTATTATATCTTTGTTCATTTTAAGTATTTATAAAAAGTTTTATTATTTTTGTAAGTATTGTTAAGGTGCAATATCTTTTTTATTTTTTTTCATTGTATATTTTTAAATACTCTTTTTTTAATCTTTATTTTTGTCTTGGAAACTGTTTAAATACATTTTGTGCAAAAATTAATTTTTCTCTAATTTAATGTATTTAATTTTTCCTCAGGCATTTACTGCCCTTGTGTGACCATTTGGCAAATTTATATGCCAAAGTTTTAGTTAAATTAAATTATGAATCTATTCAACTGCTTATCATGAAATCAGGTTTGACTCCTCTAATCATATATTTATGTGCTTCCATTTATCAACATTTACTCTGTTTCATTTAATACTTATGGGAACTGAAAGATAAAAATATTGATGATTTTATTTTAAATTGGTCCATTTTTAAAACAGCACCTGCATATAATAATATTTTCAAAAAATGCATATTATGTCTGCAAGAAAAATTTGAAATAATTACACATGCAAACTAAGAATGCTTATTAAACAAAAAATTGGAGTTGATTTCAAAATGCAGACATAACAATAAGTTTCTCCTGAAAAACTAAAAAATTATAATAAGTGAGCTCAAAAAATAATTACATTCACATAAAGAGGTAAACAATTCTAAAGAATTTTTTTTTCTAATGATGTTCGTGAATTCCTGTAATTTAATTTTCAGTTTAAATTGAAGTTTTATTGCATAATATTGGATATTGGATAATTTATTTCTGAAGAGTTTTGATTTTTAAAACACAGTTTAAAGTGAGAAATTTTGACAAGTGATTTTCTACTAATTTATTTTTGCTCTGTGTTTTTAAGAACATTGAGCACTCAATTTTGTAGAATACATTTAAAATAACTTGCACATTTTAGGCTCCTTATTAACATTTGTTTAGCACTCTTATTTGTATTTTAACATTCCATGTAAAAAATGGAAACTAATAATTTAACTTGTAAAAAACTTATACAAGATGAAAAAAGTTATACTATTTCTTCGATTAAAACAAATTATTTTTTTTAAACCAAAACCATTTTTTTTTTTAAATCAAAAACAAACAGAGATGTGTATAATTCTAACAATTATAATGATAAATATGAATTTAAAACAAAAACACACGCATATTCACAAACACATCCACCTTTTACACCTGATTTGGAAAATTTTGATAATGATTGATTGCACCTAATTAAGATAGTGAAGTTTAAGCTTATAAATAAAAAATTTCAAAAAGCCAAATAAAAAATATATATATCATGATATAACAAATAAGATTTACCAACTAGAAATTATAAAAAATTTTATGCAACAATATTAATATTTTTTATGAGAAAGCCCCTAAAAGTTTGGAAAATGTAACGCTTAAATATCATAAAATAAATTTTTAAAACAAATATCCTTGTAAATTATTAGTACCCTCAAAAAGTGAGATTAGACATGTAAGCAAAGTTAAGAGACAAATCACATAAAGAAACATTGCAGAAAAACCTTACCTTATTATATTAATAAAATTTTTGAATTTTTTGGGCTATATATTTTAGATTTATTAAGTAAAACAATCAATAATAAATCTTTATCGTGATAACGATTTAATAGTTATACGTAAAAAATCTGTTCCACAGCTCAATAAAATTAGAAATAATCTTATAAAAATTTTACAGAACATGAGAATATAAATTTTTATTCATAGGATGATGATAATGATGATGATGATGATGATGATGATGATGTTGATGATGATGATGATGATGATGATGATGATGATGATGATGATGATGATGATGATGATGATGATGATGATGATGATGATGATGATGATGATGATGATGATGATGATGATGATGATGATGATGATGATGATGATGATGATGATGATGATGATGATGATGATGATGACGATGATGATGATTTAAATAAGATTTTTTTTTTTAATATTTAGATGCATCTGTTCTGCTAAAAGAATTTTATATCCAAACATATAATGAAATTAATGAATTTCAACCACCACTATATACAACTGAAAATGTTGATTCAACAAACAAATTTATTGACTTGTCTATTGCTGAAGGAATTATTTTTGAAAAACGTATGAATTATAAACAAGTTTCACATAATGAAGTTTTCATGAAAGAAAAATCTCTTTTATTAGTTTCAGGTATAGCTGGTATTGGAAAATCTTGGTTACTTAAAAAATGCTTGATTGATTGGTCTACTAATCTTATTTGGAAAAAAGTTGATTTTGTTTTTTATTTTGAATACAGACTGCTTAATAAGTATCAATGTATTTCTAATATAAATGAATTACTTGTTGTTTTTTACAAAGATTTTGTAAAATTTGTAGATATCAATATTCATAGCATAATATTTGTAATTGATGGTTTAGATGAGTTTAAATATTTTGACGACTTAATAAATTACAGTTCTTTTTCACAATACCCAATTGTCAATGCTCTATCAGAAATTCACAATTATAAATGTGTGATAGCTGGAAGAGTTTATGCTGTAGATCAATACCGAAATGTTTGTCAAATGTCCAAAATGCAAAACAATAAGTTAACAATACAAATAATGGGTTTTAATCAAAATAGTATATATAATTATATAGAAAAAAATATAGTTGTTAAAAATAAAATTGTAAAAACATTTTTCAAAAACTTTTCTCCAGTTGCAAATGCGATGACATCTATTCCATTTTTTTTATCCTCAATGTGTAAAATTGTTGAATCAAAACAATGTAACCTTTCATTATTAACAATAACATATTTATGTACAGGAATATTTTTTTACTTTTATCAAAAACATATTATGAAAACTGAGATTCCAGTTGATGAGATAATGGAAAATGATGAACATAAGAAATATATTTTGAATATTTGTAAAATTGCATATGAATCATTTGTCAGAAGTAAAGTAGTTTTTTCCAGAAAAGAAATTCAAACTTTTATCAGTGACTTTGATAAAGTTGAACATAAACTATTTGGATTTATTGAAAGGATTGAAACAGATCTAGGTTTTCATTATCAATTTGTGCATTCAGCAATAATGGAGTTTTGTGCATCTGTATATGCATATAATTGTTTAAGTAGCGAAGAGATTATGGCCACTGAAAAGCTGGAGAGTTGTTTATCAATGATTTGTGGATTAACTAACAAAAGCCAAAATAGTTTAATAAAGTTTCTTGTTAACCTGAATCCTTCGAAAAAACCTTATGATGATTTTTTGCTTCCAGTTTTAGGTAAGTTTTTTTTATTAATATGAGTCATTTTTGATAAGCACATAAGTGGTTAATTCTGTTGTGAAATGGCTAAAGGAAGTATGTTATAGTTCTATCATGATGGGTTAATGGGTTATTTCTTTGCAAGAAGCATGTATATATATATATATATATATATATATATATATATATATATATATATATATATATATATATATATATATATATATATATATATATATATATATATATATACATACATATATACATATATACATATATATATATATATGATTTAAAGGATAACATCTTGTGTGAGAGTATATTTATATATTATTTTAAAACATCAAAAATACGATTTCTCTCAACACTTATAATTTTTTTATTATTATAGAAATTTTCGCTGGATTTTAGATACCAGCTTCTTCAGCTTGTTAAATGTTACATTTTATTTCTAACATTTAACAAGCTGAAGAAGCTGGTATCTAAAATCCAGCGAAAATTTCTATAATAATAAAAAAATTATAAGTGTTGAGAGAAATCGTATTTTTGATGTTTTAAAATAATATATATATATATATATATATATATATATATATATATATATATATATATATATATATATATATATATATATATATATATATATATATATATATATATATATATATATATATATATATATATATATATAATAAAAGTTTTTTCTTTTTTCGTTTTTAATTAGCTACGTTAGAAAAATTTCACATCAAAAATATTCAAAATTGCTTGTTAAAAATTGCTTGTTTTTTTAACTTAAAACAAACATTTTTAAAATTACATATTGCTTATGTTTCAACACAAACTATAAATAAAATAATAATAACTTACCTAATAACTTAAAGAAAATCATTTAAGAAAATCTTTAAAAATCATGTTAATTCTTAAAAGTCCATTAATACATATGTAACATTGAATTAAGAAAACCCATATTCATGAATAAACAAACTCCTTGAAAAAATCTAACCGTTTATTAGGCTAAAGTTTGAGTAATATTTCAATATATTATTGTAATAAAAAGTTGAACATTTTTTGCATAACAACTACTTTAACATAAAATAAAATAAATATAAATTCATTTATAAAAATTATATCAAACATTCCCATAAACTTTTATAGAAATAAAAACAAAGAAGAAAGTAGTTTATTACAATATTTACAATATTTTAGATGAGATTGAAATCTGTATCTAGTCATACTTATATCATTATTATTATTACAACTATTAAACAACTAGTAAGATTAATTTGGATCTGTATCAAGTTACTTTTAAGTGCTTAATACACTGTGGGAATGTATATACACTGTGGAGATGTATATACACTGTGGAGATGTATATGCACTGTGGAGATGTATATACACTGTGAGGATGTAAATACACTGTGGGTATGTATATACTCTTTTGGAAAATATTTCTAATCATACTGATTATATTAGGACCTCGGAAAATACTAATTATCACAAACTATTCATTAAAACATTTAGTTTTTTTTAGTTTAGGTGAGGTTTTTTAAATCTTTGAAATTAGGTGAGGTTTTTTAAATCTTTTAAATTTTTTAAACATTTATTGAGGTTTTTTAAATCTTTGACTTTTAAAAAAGTTCTATAATGAAAGACTATAATAAAAATCTTGTAAACCTTAATTTGATTGAAAATAAGAACTTTAGTAGCTTTTTTTTTACAGCATTACATAATCAGTGACAAGTGTGTTTATATTATAAATGAATACTATGTTAAAGATATCAAATCTTTAACATAATATTCATTTATGATATAAACACACTTGTCACTGATTCTGTAATGTAAAAAAAAAAAAGCTACTAAAGATAATAAAAGTACTACTGACACATAAAAAAAAAACACATAAAACTAAATGAATTCATGTAAAAATTTGTTTTTAACAGTTACTATAATAATAATAATAATAATAATATATTAAAAATAGTAATAATAATATTATTTTTAAGTACTTTAAATAAATTATCATGTAAATATATATATATATATATATATACTCTTGCATGTCTCTTGCGTGGCATCAAAAAATGTTTCCCATAAACTGTAGTTTTAAAGAGCGCGTTAATAAACCAGACCAGAAACAGTTTTTAAAATTAAATTTTTTTTTTAATTGATAGACTGCCTGGCCAAACCAAACCCTCAGTCGATGTAGCAGCACTCTCTTGCGAGTCAGGCTATTTGTCAGTCGTTGTAGCAGCACTCCCTTGCGAGTCAGGCTATTTGTCAGTCGATGTAGCAGCATTCCCTTGCGAGTCAGGCTATTTGTCAGTTGATGTAGCAGCACTCCGTTGCGAGTCAGGCTATTTGTCAGTCGATGTAGCAGCACTCCGTTGCGAGTCAGGCTATTTGTCAGTCGATGTAGCAGCACTCCGTTGCAAGTCAGGCTATAAGATAGTCGATGTAGCAACATTTACGCATGTTTTAAAAATGTTTTTTATTAAATCAATAACAAAAACACCACTAATTAAAAAAAACTTTCTAGTCGTTATAATTGCGGTTTTTTAAAAATTTTTAAAAAAACAATTAAATTTAATGTACTTCCGCATAAATTAATTGCTTTGACATTTCGATGACAATCAAAAACAGCTTAAGAGACGAGGTAATTAAAATTGTAGTCGTAAGAGACTTTTTTTACATTAAAATGCTCTTAAAGCTACACTATATGGGTATATATATATATATATATATATATATATATATATATATATATATATATATATATATATATATATATATATATATATATATATATATATATATATATATATATATATATATACATACTTAAATAGTTGGTAAACATAAGCCCCTTGAATAAAACTAGTAATATAAATAATGTTCCTCACAATAGCATAAAAGTTATGTTATAAATTCTGTTAAAATTTTTATAAGAGAACAGTTTCAAAACAAGCATTTGTCAACAAAATGACACAATTTGAGGTTTTGCCACACTTGATTTCAATAAATTTACATTATTAATTTAAAAAATATAATTAATTAATTTTTCGGCAGCAATTTAGTAGAATGAAGCATGTTACCAAATAACACAATGCCAGAAAGAATAAAAGTTTTGATAACAAAAGTGTAAGATGCTTTATTATTTAAACTTCCAATTTACATGTTTAGCATATATATATATATATATATATATATATATATATATATATATATATATATATATATATATATATATATATATATATATATATATATATATAAAGTTATTATTATTTTATTTATAGTTTGTGTTGAAACATAAGCAATATATAATTTTAAAAGTTTGTTTAAAGTTAAAAAAACAAGCAATTTTGAATATTTTTGATGTGAAATTTTTCAAACGTAGCTATATAAGTTTACTAATAATATTTCTGTAAATTTCAATTGTGGAATTTTCATAATAATAAACAATAAAAGACTTAAAAATAATTTTTGCAGATTAGTATCACCTAAAGTTATTTTTTATGTGAATTGTAACTTTGTAGTGTTGTTTAAGCGATCTAACCTTGTAATCACAAGGTTAAAGCTAATTGTTAATACCCAGATGGCAAATAGCAGCTGCATCCTCAGAAGCTAAAAATTTAATGGTTGAGTGTATTTTGATGGCAGATCATTCTTAAATCCAATACCCCACTTTACTGCTATATCTCCAGCTCAGTCTATAAACTGATAACTTCAAAACCAATTTCCATAAAAGCTTGCTTAGATGCATAATCAACAAACTAAAGTTGTTGTTTTTTACTCATTTTTGCGCAGGTTAAAGCAGAAATTTTTTGTTTTAGTTTTTTATTAGGTAGGATTCATATCTCTACCTAAAAAAAATTATTTATAAAAAAAAAATGTTTATTATTATTATTGTTATTATTATTTACTTATTATTTATTTATTATTTGCTTCCCCATAGTCGCGAAGGCCACTAGAGATAAGGAGGATACTTAATTGTTGTTATATCCCTCTCTCAATTCTATAACTCAGAAACACCTTGACAAACCTTGACGAACAAGGCCCATGCATAAAGAAAATGTTGAACGTGATACTACATAGGAAGTAGTGGCAATCAAACTTGGATTTTATTAAGTGAGCACTCTACCACTACACCACAACTGCATCTATATGTATTTTTTAAAAATAAAATATTGGTTCTCCATTTATTTTCAATACTCAAATTTTAAAAAAATACATTTTATTTGTTATATTTAACATGTGATTGCTTTAACATTTGTTATACTTAACATGTGATTGCTTTAACATTTAACATGTTTTAGCATAAAGATAAAAATAAAATAAATTATATATTATCCATAAATGAAAAATTAATTCAACCTAATAGTTATTACACTTTTTACTCTTAGTTTATATTATGGTGATCAAATTCATGGCCAAAAATAGGTTTTCATGAAGCTATGAAAAAGTTTTGTCATTTCTAATAAGTACTACCAAACAAACATTAATTTTGAAACAAAGTAAAATCTTTTTATTGCAAGTAAAGACCATTGCAGTTGAGTTAACTTTCATGAATGTCAAATAAATAAAGATAAATTAAAAAATTTGATTTTTTGTTTTCATGATTACTATACTTGTTGTACATTATTTAAATTAATCGTCATTTACAACTTAGAAAAAAGCAGCAGCTGCATTGATCTTTTGCCACAGACTGAGGTTTTACATACAAAATCTTGATTACATTATAAAAAATAAAGTTAACTCAATGTTTAAATTTAAAGAAGTGCTTTACATTTTTTATAAAAATAAAATCTTAATTTTTGCCCAAACTAAGTATTCGGGCCTACTCCAAAATATTTAAGCAAAGGACTTTCCTCAAAATGGTGATTGGACGTGTGATTCACAGGGTTCTTATATATATACATACATACTTACATATATATATATATATATATATATATATATATATATATATATATATATATATATATATATATATATATATATATATATATATATATATATATATATATATATATATACATTTTTACATATATATACAAATGTATACATACTTATATATATATATATATATATATATATATATATATATATATATATATATATATATAATATATATATATATATATATATATATATATATATATATATACATTTTTACATATATATACAAATGTATACATACTTATATATATATATATATATATATATATATATATATATATATATATATATATATATATATATATATATATATATATATATATATATATATATATATATATATATATATATATATATATATATATACATTTTTACATATATATACAAATGTATACATACTTATATATATATATATATATATATATATATATATATATATATATATATATATATATATATATATATATATAAATATATATATATATATATATATATACACTTACATAATTATATATATATATATATATATATATAATATTTATATATATTAAGGGGTAAACAGATTCTATCTGTTGACCAGCCTCGCACCCCTTCGTCATCTATTAGGCTGGCGCAGATGTATTTTTAATACCTTGTTTCCAGTTTAGGATGTTGAACGCTGGATCTCCTTAACTCGATTCATGGGTTTTGCTTATGTCTCTGTTTTTATGACTAGGCAACTCATTCTATTATCTCCAAATGAGGGTACAGCTCAAAAGCTCAGTTTTATGGTTCTGAGGCCGGCTGGTAGTCAGGTTTCCCAAACTCTGTGGTAGCTCTCAGAGAAACTGATTCCATCAACAGCTGAAAAATATCAGAGTACTAACAGTGCCATGTTGCGCATGGATGGTGTCCCTGTTTGTACTTTTGGTGTGCATTGCCAAGGCCACATTGGAGCCCTTTGTTACAGCTTAGGGTTTATTAGTGGAAATGAGGCAATTGCTTGAGCTATAGAACAGTGTACTGAGTACTATCAATGTTTCGAGTCAAGTTCTTTAACAAATTTAAAAATGAATAAAGTAACAAAAACTATAAAACACAAAAAACCACAGTCATCACCAAGTTCGCTAAACCTATCATTCACCAATATTCGTGGTCTTTGAAGTAACTTTTCTTCTGTTGAGTCTTGCAAAGTTCACCAGACCTGCTTGCTCTTTGTGAGACTAATTTGAGTTCAGCTGTCTCATCTTGTGATCTTAGTGTTGATGGTTATCTTCCTTTAATTCGTAAAGACTCCAATAGTCACATGCTTGGCCTGGGCATTTACATTCGTAAGAATTCACCCATTTGTCGGGAAACTAGGTTTGAATCCACAGACTACTCTTTTATGTGCTTTCGTTTAGCACCACTTCACTCTATTACATTTCTCTTTGTTCTATATCGCTCTCCCTCATTGCAAGACTGCACTCTTCTTGATGTTATTTCTGATTATATTGACCAAGCCCTCATTCTTTATCCATCAGCCAATATTGTTGTTGTCGGTGGCTTTAATGTTCATCACACTGAATGGCTTGGCTCTAGTGTCAGTGACTCTGCAGGCATTAAGGCCCACAACTTTTGTCTTTCTCAATCCCTAACTCAAATAGTCAACTTTCCAACTTGCTTTCCAGACAACCCGAATCATTTACCTTCTCTGCTCGACTTATGTCTTGTTTCTGATCCTAGTCAGTGTTCAGTTTCTTCACACTCACCCTTAGGTGCGTCTGATCATGGTTTGGTCTCTCTAAAACTATTATCTCATTCTTCTTTACTATTAGAATCCCCCTATCATCGTACATCTTACAACTACCTTAAAGCTGATTGGGACTCTTTTCGTGACTGATGGCCCCTGGGTAGAAACCTTTTGTCTCCCTGTTGACAAATGTGCTTCTTACATAACTTCGTGGATTCAGGCTGGCATGGAATCCTTTATTCCCTCTTGACGATTCCAGGTCAAGCCTCACTCTTCTCCATGGTTTTCCTCACATTGTGCTGCTGCAATTGTCAATCGAAACCATTACTTTTATATCTATCAGCAAAACAATTCTCCAGAAAACAGACGTCTCTTTATTATTGCTAGGAACCATTGTAAAAAGGTTTTGTCTAACGCCAAAACCCGCTATTCTCAGATCATGAAATCTCGTATTTCATCACAAAAATTAGGCTCTCGTGACTTCTGGAGAATCTTTAATAGTATCAATAATAAGGGCAAGTCTGTAATTCCATTCATATCACTCCAGCTTCTGTATCTAAAGTGATTTCCCGCTTAGACTCTTCTACAGCTTGCGGCCCAGACAACATACCTGTTATAGTCTTGCAGAAGTGTTCTCCTGAGCTGTCATCTATCTTTTCAAAACTATTCAACAAGTGCTTATCAGAGTCTTGTTTTCCAGCCTGCTGGAAAGCAGCATCTGTTATCCCTATTTTTAAAAATTCTGGAGAGCGATCTGACTCATCTAACTACTGTCCCATTAGTCTTCTTCCTATCATAAGCAAGGTTTTTGAATCTTTAATTAACAAACACTTAATCTCTCATCTCGAATCTCATAACCTACTTTCTGATCATCAGTATGGATTTCGATCTTCTCGTTCTACGGCTGATTTGCTATCAGTAATAACCGATAGGTTTTATCGCGCATTAGATAAAGGTGGAGAGGTTAAGGCCATTGCTCTTGACATTTCTGAAGCGTTTGATAAAGTTTGGCATGCTGGTCTCCTCCATAAGCTTTCTTCTTATGGTGTATCTGGAAACATCTTTAAGATTATTGAATTTTTCTTTTCCAATCGTAGTATAAAAGTTGTCCTTGATGGACAGCACTCTTCTTCTTATTCTGTAACCTCAGGGGTTCCCCAAGGTTCAATCCTTGGCCCTATACTCTTTTTAATTTACATTAACAATCTTCCAGATATTCTCACATCTAAGGTGGCATTGTTCGCTGGTGATACTACCATTTATTCTTGTCACGATAAGAAGCCAACTCCCTCTGATTGCTTGCAGGGGGCATCTGAGCTTGAAAAGGATCTCACTTCTGCTACAGCATGGGGCTCACAGTGGCTGGTGAACTTTAATTCAGATAAAACCCAATCGGCCAATCGTTATCGCAATAATTTAGACCTTCCTATATTTATGAACGGTAATGTACTTGATGAGTCTCCTACCCTTCATCTTCTAGGATTAACTCTTACTTCTGATCTTTCTTGGAAACCTTATATCAAATCCGTTGCAAAATTAGCATCTGCTAAAGTTGCTTCTCTGTATCGAGCTTGTCACTTTCTTACTCTGGATTCTATTCTCTATCTCTATAAATCTCAAATCCGGCCTTGTATGGAATACTGTTGCCATATCTGGGGCGGATCTTCTAATGATGCCCTTTCTCTTTTAGACAAGGTGCAAAAACGCATTGTAAACATAGTTGGACCTGCTCTTGCAGCCAACCTTCAACCTGTCACATCGTCGTAATGTTGCTTCTCTTTCTCTTTTCTACAAATACTATAATGGGCACTGCTCTAAAGAACTAGCGTCTCTTGTGCCATCTACTAAAATTCATTCTCGTGTTACTCGTCATTCAATTAAGTCTCATCCTTTTTCTGTTACTGTTCCTAAGTGCTCCAAAAACTCTTATTCGTATTTTTGCTCACTTTTTTTTCTAGCCTAAATTAAGTGAGCATTTTTAGAAAACGATGAGGGAAAACGAAGAATAATGAATGAAAATGTTGCTGACCCATACCAAACCCTCAGTCGATGTAGCAGCACTCCACAACGAGTCAGGCTGTTTGTCAGTCGTTGTATGTACTGAAGCCCCCGGCAGCAGGCTATTTGACATTAGGTGAGTATGACATCATCATGCTCACCTAACTCAGCAGTATAAGATATATATTTATATATATATATATATACATATATATATATATATATATATATATATATATATATATGTATATATATATATATATATATATATATATATATATATATATATATATATATATATATATATATATATATATATAATAATTATTATTATATTATTATATATAAATATATATGTATATATATATATATATATATATATATGTATATATATATATATATATATATATATATATATATATATATATATATATATATATATATATATATATATATATATATATATATATATATATGTTTATATAAATGTTTTATATATATATATATATATAAAACATTTATTATTATTACATTATTATATATATATATATATATATATATATATATATATATATATATATATATATATATATATATATATATATATATATATATAATTATTATTATTTTATTATAAACCATAGTTTTAATTACTTGATTTACGATTACAGTATATAAAAATATATTGCGTAAATTTATTGTCCAGTTATAATTTTATATTAATTATAATGTTAAAATATATAGAATGTTATAATGTATGTTATATTATTTCGACTATTATTTCCATTATTATTGATTTGTTTGTATTTAAAATTTTTCTAGATTATTTACGTAAAAGTTATAATGAAAACGAATCTTTAAACAAAAAATTTCATTACAATAATTTATTCATTGAATGTTTTTTTGAAAGTCAATCATCATTTACTGATGAAATCAAATCAATTGTCGATAGTCGACAGTGGGAGATTTGGATTGACGGTTGGAGAACATTCTACAAGACTTCTTGCGATAGTTATTTTGTAAATCATTTCATAAATTCTGGAAGAAAGTTATCAAAGTTATTTGTTGATAAAAATGTTTTAAGTGATGAAGAAAAAAATCTTTTAATTCAATGTTCAACAAATGTTCGCTGTGTCATCTTTTATCGAATGATTAAGTTTGAAGGTTGGAAACCAAAAGATAAGATTGTAGAGTTGTGGATACAAATCTCAAATTATTTAATAACGAAAATAGGTTTTAAAGAAAATTTTCTTCCGTGGATTAATATTTGTGAAGAATTATATCTTGAAGTTCACGACGAAATTGATTTTATTGAAGATATCTATGAATGGATTTATTATTCAAATATCAAGAAGTTGTGCATCAAGTACCGTGGAAAAGATTTTCGTAACGATGAATTAAAAAATTTTATATCACGGAAAAAGTGTTTAATATCTTAAATAATAATAATAATAATAATATTATAGAAATAATATTAACAATAGTTTTAAATAACGAGTAAAATATTTCATGAACAATATAATTATATATGTTTTAAAATACATATTATTACGAAGTACAAATTATTTTTCATAATGTATTCGATTTTTAATATTAAAAATTTTAGATTGCTTTTTTTAAATAGATAGTTAAAATGGATCAAAAAAAAAATTAATTTTAAATAGTTTAAAATTATTAATTTTTTTTTTAGTTGTTGTTTAATATTAATTGCATCTTTTATTATATTTTGTTTTAAATTTATAAGTTTTAAAGTTTATTGAAACATAAAAGTTAAATTTTTTATTTATTAAATTTTGGTTAAGAAAATAAAAAAGTTCGTATGTTTTCGTAAGTTATTTTGTTCGAGTATTGAATTTTTAATTGTGAAGCGTCGCTTTCTTTAATATATGATTGAATATTTTATGTAGTAACCCCAACTCTGCGCTCCATTGGTGCGTCGAATTAATATTTTAGCAATAAGAACCATTTTTTCACTTTTTCAATTAAAATCATTTTAATTTTAATTGATAATCACTGTATTATGTGAAAAGCTGTTTATTATCGTAAATTTTTATCGCTATTTACAAGTGCTTGTTATAAAACTTTTTTGGTTTATATACTAGTTATAAAGATTACGGTAGAAATTTGTACATAGGCCTATTTGAATGTTTAAAAAATAATTAAAACTAAAAATAAACATGTAATTATTCTTAAAACTTGTTATAGTAATATATAAACTTGCATAATATACTTTTAAGTTTTTTGCTTTCAATCAGACAATATTTGTTTTTATTATAATATTGTGTAATAGACCACTTTTATTATAATATTGTGTAATAGACCATTAATATTGTGTGACCACAGACCATTTAACTGTATCGATCAGTTTCGTAGTGCAGACATGATTTGTAAACGTTTTAATTTATACTGACTGAATTACATGTCGGTTTACATGTCTCTTATATAGTAAAATGAACCTGTGTGAACCTGTTCTAAAAGATTCTAGATGCTTCTTTTCGATGCTTCTGAACGTTTCTAGATGATTCCAGATGCTTCTTCTGGAAACTTCCTTTAATTATTAATTATTGGAGTCATAGCATGCCATGACATGAGCAATCAGCTGACTGGTGATAGCACACAGTTAGAATTTCGTTGACAAGTGCCACTTTGCAGCGTACAAAACAAGTGCAACTTTTTTGGTAAGTTTCATTTTCTTATGTCTGGTCCGTGTCAACGTCACGGAATTTTTTGAATAGTAAAATAATAAATTTAATAATAAAATTTTTATTAAAATTATTCTATATATCTTCAAAATAAATTAAAACATCTGTGTTTCCAATGGGATAACGATGCTAGCAAAACAAAATTTCGGGACTGCCTAATTTGCGAATGCGAAGGTTTAAAGGGACAGAAGAAAAAGCCAAACTTGGCTTTTCCTTCTGTCCTTTTAAACTTTTGCGAATAATAACGGAAAAAGAGACGAAATAAAAATTAATGTTTATAAAGTTATTTTTAAAATTGTTTGCTAATTTTATATTTAGTAGTAGTCAATGATATTTATATATCATTGGTAGTAGTATAGAGAGGATTTGCGTAAAAATTGTTAACTAATTAAATTTAGAAAATTTTAATTGGAATTATTAATAACGACCTCGGTGAACCATCAAGCAAGCGAATTTTCAGATAAATAATTACAGGAAAGCTGTGTTAAAAAAAAAACCGTATGATTTTGAGGCCAACATAGAATATTATATAGAATATTGGTTACACGATAATATTTTATGTGGGCCTCAAAAATGAATCCTTGCACACTGAGCAATAGGTGCAGTAAAATTTTTTTTTTTTCTAATTCATTTTGCCTGGGTGTGCAAAAGTTTTCTATTCATGTCAGAAATACTCTGTAAAAATTGCAATACTCCAGGAAGTTATTTTGATGTGCCTCAAGGACTTTTTTTTTTTTTTTAATTGTGATTTTAGGTGCCCCAAGAAGTCCTTACGGTCTTATCACAAAGCACCGCGGAAGAGCATTTAATAGGAAGTTCACGCCTCCTTCCCAACCGTTGTCGCAAAACTTGCCCAGAGGCGGGGTTTGAACCACGGATCTTACGTTTCTGAGGCAAATGTGCTACCACTGCGCTACGGCTGTTTTGAAGTCACCAAAATCCCCAAAAAGTGACCTACGGAAAAAAATTAAATTTTTTTTTTTTGTTTGATATTCATTTTGCTTGGGTGGGCAAAAGTTGTCTATTCATATCAGAAATACTCTGTAAAAATTGCAATGTTCTATGAAATTATCTTGAGGTGCTCCAAGGTCATTGAAATTCCCCAAAATGTGACCTACCGACTACGGAGTACGGAGCGCGAACTACCGAGATAGACTAAGACTTTTTTTTTAATTTGTGTGTGTCTGGGTGATATAATAATATTATTATTTAGTGCTATATAATTAGCTGCTATAACGCTGCTATAATGCTGAGTGAATGTGCATGTATTATTATGTAAAATACAAACGGCGTCAAACAAAAAACACAGAATCTAGCAGATAACTATTAAAATTATCATTTATTTTTGCTGTGTTGTTTTTTGCATGGTTAGATCATGGGACAAAAGATTAAAATTGTACTAATGAAGAAACCACTCACTCGCAATCATAACATATGCCCAGTATTTGGCATCATTTCACTAATGAGCATAAATGTTTTGCCAACGTATGCAGATATAATAAAACATTTTATATCAGTAAGAAAAGAATTGTCTGATGACCATGCCAAAGAAATTACAATTAATGAAACAACCAGGAAGATATCTGTTGATCTTGAGGCAATATGACACAGAGCATCAATTCCAGTAATATCCCGTCAGCAAATAATAGCTAAAACAAGAGATCGCCATGACAAATATCGCTCACTTATGAAACCGTTTAAACAGAGGTCCAAGGACAAGGAGTCACAGTACCTTAACAAAGTTGAAAACTTCAAAATTGACTCAAATCGAATTTATGATATTGCTTCATGTAAATGTAAAAACTTTTTGATATGTGCTTGTGAAAAAAATTGAAAAGTTCCACCAAATGAAATAATATTTCTTGCAGATCAAAGAACAGAAAGGAAAATGGCTATTGGCAACGTTGATATTAAAACAACAAAGCAGCAGAAAAAGACACTGAAAAGAAAATTTGCAGATGAATTGAGATTTTATAAATGTGAATCAATAACAAATGCTGAAACTTTGAAATCGCATCCAGACTGTAGCTTAGAGGATGATTGTAATAATGCCACGTTAGATGATTTAGATAAAGCTATCACTGAAAGAGATAGTAATGAAGATATTGTATTCATGACAGACTCGCCTAAGTCACCATCATCAACTAATAATACAAGCTCACAAGAAATTTTGAACTCTCAAATGCAAACTCCACTACCAACATTAGCTCATGAATGTGATTGATGGGGAGTATCGGATCGCTCAGCTGCAGCATTAGCATCGGCTGTTTTAGTTGATTATGGCATTATTAACGCACATGACTCACCTGATGTTATTGACCCAAGTAAAATTCATAGAGAAAGACAGAAAAAGAGAAAAATTTTACAAGCTGGTGCTGCCAAAACATTTGAAGGGTTATATTTCGATGGGAGAAAGGACAAAACTCAAAGCCAGATTATTAAAGGAAACAGATATCATCCAGCTTTGGAGACCAAGGAGCACGTTGTATTAATAAAGGAACCTGGTTCTGAATACCTGGAACGCCTTAAAACATCACAGGGATCTTCATAAAGTATAAAGATTAGCATTATATCATTTTTGAATGCAAATGCTATAGATACCAGTTCATTGGTGGTAATCGGATGTGATGGAACGAATGTCAACTCAGGTAATATTGGTGGTGTTATTCGACTTCTCGAGCTTCGTTTCAACAAATCTCTACACTGATTTGTATGTTTATTACATATGAATGAGTTAGCATTGAGACATCTCCTGATTAACCTGGATGGATCTACATATGGGCCAAATTCATTTAGTGTTCCAATCGGAAAATTATTGAAGACATGGACTTGCCAATTGTCAGTTTTCAACCAACCGAAGGAAATGTGTTGTCCAGCATTGATGCAGATGATCTCAGTACAGATCAAAGGTACTTGCATGAAATGTGTCAAGCAATATCCAGTGGCTAATGTAGTTTTTAATTGGGTAATCGAAAACCGGGACCCTTGTGTCATTCTCGATGGATAACAACTGTTAGTCGTTACCTCCGGTTATATGTATCTACAGAAAAGCTAGACAAAAACTTGATCATTCTTGTAACTTACATACAAAAGGTATATGCACCTATTTGGTGATAATATTATAAATTTGATACTTGCCTATCGAGCTCAAGAAAGTTGTTGATCCTGTAATCCAAAGAAATGCATACTTTGCTCACCCAGAAAACTTATTAATATCAATGGCAACCGATGAAAGGCCTCACATTCGTCAATTAGCACTAAGACGTGTATTGGCTGCAATATCGATATCCGACAAGACCGATGCTAAATCTACAGTTAGATTGTTCAAGATACCACCGCTAAACTTTGAAGCAACAGATTAGACATAATCAACTGGTCATCAAAAAAAAGTGCTGAACCTCCATGGCTCAGATCAATTGAATCGACTCAGCTTAAAAACAGTATTCTGACATCAGAAATGCTACAATTTAAAAGCTTTCCATGCCACACTCAGTCTGTAAAAAGAAGCGTGACGCTAGTCACTGAAGTCAGTATGGCAGTCTGTGAACCTCAGCGTGATGATTTTATTCGTGCAAGAATAGAGTCGCGATAAGCTTTGAAAGTCTTACACAAAATCTGATTTCAGCCTTTCAAAATGACGTTCTTGAAATGATTAACTGACAGAAAATAAACTCGAAATAATTGTTATTCTTAATTTTTGTGGCACCTCAAAGTTCTACAATTTACATAAATATATTTTCATTAGGTTCTGATATGATGTTAAAACCATCATACAGGTTTATTATAATAGAAATCGAAAAATAAGAT